TTATTTGTTGAGGGGATAGCCCTTATAGGGGCACAAAAAGTATGGGTTCGGCCATCCCTCCATCCAAACTCTCCCGTTGATAAATTATTTGTTTGTGGGGAACGACGAGCTGTTGTTGCTAATGTGGAGGCGGATGAAAGGGTTGTTGTTATGGAGGTTTTTTCTACACCAGAAAAAAATAAAGCTGAATGTTTTCGAATTGTTGGACCTTGAAAAAGAAAATCATTTTTAGGAAATCATTTTAAACGGAGTTGTCTTATTTTTTGTAAAAACAGCTTGATCCTTGGGGTTTTCATAATTAATGGGATGCTATAAGAATTAAAATTTCAAAAAATTTTTGGAAAAATTTCACTTAAAAATTCAAAAAAAAATTTTCAAAAATTTCAAGAAAATTTCTCAAAAAAATTTCAAAAAAATTTTCAATAAATTTTTTCATTAAATATTCACCAGCTTCAAATAACTGTGTTGGAATTAATTGAATCAAAAGGTAGCCAACAAATTAAATGAAAAGCGGCAATCCTCATTATTGCCATAGTCATTTCCCTCATATATTTAGGTTTTGGGACTGTTGCTATAAATAAATTATTTTGTTGTTGGGTAGAAGCTATTTGTTGTAAATTTGGACGTTTCTTCTTTTTATTTGTTGTTATTGGGTTATTGTGCAATTTAAACCGTTTTCGGTTGCTTTAACTGAATATAAAGATAGCCATAAAATAGAGGCACCACATGTTCCGATTGATAAAAGGGCACATAAGGGGGTTAATTGAACAGCTAAACGACGAACCTTTAAAAAGAAATATTTAATTTTAATATTTTAATTAATTTTTATTAGGAGGGCAGGGAATTGAAGATTTTATTTTCTCTTTTCAATTCCTCCCTTTATTCCTCCCAAAGTCTCATCCTCGCATACTTCCCTTTATCTCGTATTTTTTACCAAATGACTCAGAGATATGTCCAAAAGGGCACATAAGGGGGTTAAATCGCTTTTAGGGTTGAGGTAGGTTAGTGGATACGGACACCTGCCAATTTTACATGACACCCCGAAATAGGATGGCCTTGTGGTAGGTTAGTGGACTATTCCAGATTAGGATATACGGCGCCTTTCCATGTTCAATTAAGCAAAGGCTTTAAGAGAAGAAAGAGCTTAGATTTACCCTCCATAGAGATTTGGACCCTATCCCAAAAGAAGAGCGGAATCGTTTTTTCAATACCTGCAAGGAAAGGAAAAATGGAGACGAACGGACTCGGACAGACGTCCGTATTTGGTCTGACCCGAGTCCATGTTTTGCCCGTCCGTGTTTTGCCATTCGTCTCATTTTCTTTCCATTTTACTCCATTTTTCCTTTCCTTGCAGGTAAAGAAAAAAAACGATTCCGCCCTTCTTTTGGGATAGGGCCGAGATTTACATAGAGATTGTGACTTGATAAGGTATAACTTAAAACGTTATTGAAGACGCTTTTTGGAGTCAAACTTTGGCATAAAGCCTTGATCACGAGTCATGGAAAATTTTCGATCCTAGAGATTTGTGGGGTTAAATATGTATGTCCTTTCAACCTTTGTTTTTAAATAATAAAAAATTACTTTATTATTAAAAGGTTTTCGTATAGTAATAAATCGTTCAATGCTAATACAGGCCAAACAAGTAATTGAGCAAAGTTTGAATATATGGTCAATTGCAAAATTAAATTGACACCAATAATTAGCTAAAAAATAAAAATCTTAGAATTCAACAATTAATTTGAAAGGTTGACTCCCATACCCCCTCTAAAAGACTTTCCGATAAATGAGAGAGAGATGGGGATGAACTAAGAAGTTGAGTAAAATTAGAACACTTAGGCTATGGTCTCATCCAAACATACTTCCCTTTTCACATTAGAGATCGAGCTGGACCTGGACCAAGGCCTGGGTTTTTCCTGTACCCAGAATCCAGGCCCAGGCATTTTTTGACCTTCCTGGGTTTTTCCTGGACTACAGGCCCAGGATCCCGTCCAGGTCAAGAGATCAACTCCAGAGTCCAGGAACAGGTCCAGGCTTTTCAAAAATCTCGATCTCTACTGCACATAAAATTTTCAAGAAAATTTTTTTAAAATTTTCAAAAAAATTTTTAAGAATTTCAAAGAAAATTTTTTTAAATTTTTTTTATTAAATGCTATTCACCAGATTCAAATAACTGTGTTGGAATTAGTAGAAGCTATTTGTTGTAAATTTGGACGTTTCTTCTTACTTGTTGTTGTTGCTGTGCTATTAGTAGAACTTCCATTACTATATGAGGAATTTGAAGTTAATAGTTTAGCTGTTCCACAGGCTATTCGACGGCTATCTACAGACTCTCTAGAAAATATCTTCTTGAGGCAGCAAAAATTGTACCTTAGAACCAGGGGTTGGTCGGAAATGACGAAGGTGTCGGAACTGTCGAAAATCGGAATTGGCTCAAGTCATGGATACAGATATCAAATGTCTGCGGATATCCGCCTGTATCCGCTGTAAATATCCGAATACCAAAATCAATATCCGTGAGTCGGTCTGCCTTAGAATGGGATGCATTAGAAGAGGGTTTAGGCAGTTCACTCCCCCTTACTAAGAAACTAGTGATCTAAAATTGGGGTGTACCTGATTTTGGAGGTATTTACATAAAAGTTTGTAGGAGGTTTTGTTCGAAAAAAAAACCAAAAAATATTTTAGAAAATAAAGCATTAAGTTTACAATAAAAACCTCAGTATCTTGCATAGCCGAACACAATTTATCCCCAACTTCTTTACAGGCTGAATGTCCCAACAGCATGTGTATAGACATAGACTTTAAATTCTCCAAATATTTATTTGCTTCAATAATTGCTGTCTCTTGTTGTTTATTTGTTGTCAGCCAAGAACAAGAGGCAAAAAATGTAACTGAGAACGTAGAGCTTGTTTTAAAAATAATGGCAGCATTGGAGGACGACCAATTAAATCGCGAGGTCGTTGATGATGGAGCTTGAAGGTCCAAACCTTTAAAAAATTTCTAAATTTTTTTCTAAAAATTTTTTTTAAAAATAAAAACCGTTTGACCCTTAGAATACAGTCACAACTCTCTATAAAATATCTTCTTGAGGCTGTAAAAATTGTACATTAAAATGGGATGCATTAAAAGAGGGTTTAGGCAGTTCTCTCGCCCAGTGACTAAGGAAACTTTAAGGTGCATCCTAAATTGAGGTGTACCTAATTTTGGAAGTATTTACATAAAAGGTAGTCATTTGGAGGACTTTTTTCGAAAAAACCGAAGAATATTTTAGAAAATAAAGCATTAAGTTTACAATAAAAACCTCAGTATCCTGCATAGCCGAACACAATTTATCGCCAGATTCTTTACAGGCTGAATGTCCCAACAGCATGTGTATAGACATAGACTTTAAATTCTCCAAATATTTATTTGCTTCAATAATTGCTGTCTCTTGTTGTTTATTTGTTGTCAGCCAAGAACAAGAGGCAAAAAATGTAACTGAGAACGTAGAGCTTGTTTTAAAAATAATGGCAGCATTGGAGGACGACCAATTAAATCGCGAGGTCGTTGATGATGGAGCTTGAAGGTCCAAACCTTTAAAAAATTTCTAAATTTTTTTCTAAAAATTTTTTTTAAAAATAAAAACCGTTTGACCCTTAGAATACAGTCACAACTCTCTATAAAATATCTTCTTGAGGCTGTAAAAATTGTACATTAAAATGGGATGCATTAAAAGAGGGTTTAGGCAGTTCTCTCGCCCAGTGACTAAGGAAACTTTAAGGTGCATCCTAAATTGAGGTGTACCTAATTTTGGAAGTATTTACATAAAAGGTAGTCATTTGGAGGACTTTTTTCGAAAAAACCGAAGAATATTTTAGAAAATAAAGCATTAAGTTTACAATAAAAACCTCAGTATCTTGCATAGCCGAACACAATTTATCCCCAACTTCTTTACATTCTGAATGTCCCAACAGCACATGTATAGACATAGACTTTAAATTCTCCAAATATTTATTTGCTTCAATAATTGCTGACTCTTGTTGTTTATTTGTTTGTGTTGGACAAGAAAGAGAAGAGTTTGTTGTTGTTGTTAAATTTTTCTTTTCATTTCCAGAAGAGAAATTTGATGCCAAACAAATTCTCTCATTTAATACTTCAGCTAAAAATTCTTTAGGTAAATCCATTGAACATCTCGTTGATTTTATCAAATTTTTAAAAATTCTCTAAAAATAAATAAAGTGTATTTAAAAATATTTTAGTGATACAAAACTGTATTTTAAAATCGGCTAAATCTCAAAAAATATTTATTAAACCAAAATTAAATAAAATAAAGCAAAAAAAGAAATTGAAAGGGAAATTTTAAATATTATATATATGCTCTAATAATTATTCTCAAAAATAATTGCTTAATCCTAATTAATTACCCCCCACCCCCAGAGGAAGGTCGAAACAATAATTACCCAGGGCAATTATTTGAGCATATAATAAAGAAAAAAAATAATACAATAATTTTGGAAGGCAATCGACTTGGCCTTACTACTACTTTCTTAAACAAACCCAATATTGCATGGACTGCCGAGGAATGTTTTGAGAAAATGATAACTTTTCTTGGTGGAATCGCAGCAGAAGAGTTATTTATTAAGAAGGATTCAAAAATGGCCCAATATTTAAAACAAATTGGAATCAAAAATTGCTCAAGCAACTGCCAGAAAGATTTAGCCAAGGTTTACAATCTGGCTAAGGAGATGACAATGAAATGTGGAATGGACCAGAAATTGGGCCTATAGGATTTGGTGATTTTAGTACAGAAGAAATGGAAGAAAGATTCCCACCCATGCTGGAAACTTGGCTAAATTGGCTTATGATAAATGTTTGGAACTAATTGCTGACAAGGAAATTTTAGTCAAGAAAGTCGCCGATCGCCTTTTAGAGAACAATACAATTGAAGAAAATGAATGTTCAAATAAAAATTTTGTTTGACGTCATCACAAAAAAATTCTTATTTGATCAAACTGAAATAAAATTTAAATATTTTTATTTATTTGTAAAACATACTCATTCAATTCCTTTTCTTCAATTGTATTGTTTTCCAAAAGGCGGGCAGCAACTTTCTTTACAAAAATTTCCTTGTCAGCAATTAGTTCCAAACATTTGTCATAAGCCAATTTAGCCAAGTTCCCAGCGTGGATGAGAACTTTTGCTTCCATTTCTTCTGTACTAAAATCACCAATACCAATAGGGCCAATCTCTGGGTTCATTCCATATTTCATTGTCATCTCTTTAGCCAAATTGTAGACTTTGGCTAAATCTTCTTGACAATTGCTTGAGCAATTTCTGATTCGCATTTGACTTAAATATTGAGCCATTTTTGAATCCTTCTTAATAAATAATTCTTCTGCTGCCATTCCAGCGAGAAAAGTCATCATTTTCTCAAAACATTCCTCAGCAGTCCAAGAAATATTTGCTCTATTTGCAAAAGTAGTAAGGCCAAGTCGATTGCCTTCCAATACAATTGTCACCTAATTAAAAAAGTTTGTCTACCGGAGGCGATTAGTTATACTGTTTAATATCATTTAAACCCAAAAATATCAAATTGAGACGGAATAGTCAAACCGAAAAAAGGAAAGGACCGCAAAAAAGCCGGTACTATCAAGGGTATATCTAGGAGGTCGGTTTCTTTCTGTTTTTCCATTATCCTTATTTCAGGGTCATAGGGTGCTATAGCCCCTTGAATATGCCCTTGGGTACTATCTGATTATCACCCATCTCTCCTTTTCCTCTTCATTCCTTTTTCTCCGATTAAATGGAAACTAATAGTACAGTGAAAATCTATGCTGTAAATCACCAGCTTCTGCAATTAGAACTTTTGTCAACGTTTGGGGTTGTATGGCTCATTTATGCCCAGAAAATCTTTTACAAAAATAAAAGGCCCACGCATAAAATAACGGACAGTTGGTTTTAACAAAAAATGCTGGGTATTTATCGGCATAGATTTTCTACACTATAATTTGCATTTAATCTTTTAAAAAGGAACGAGAAAAAAATAAAATGAGGGAGACAATCGGATAGCCCCAAATAGCCTAGAGAGAGGACACCGTACTAAAGTAAATAAAAATGCAAACCTTTATCGCCTTTGCTGTAGTTTCACAAAAAAAACTAGCAACCACGTGACCAGCCTCGTGGATGGCCACGCGGTGCAGGTCTGCATCAGATGGAGTCGGTTTGTCTTCATCCGTATTGATTGAACAACAATTTAAATTGTATAATGTTTCGCTTTGACTGAGGTTTAAGCTGGTAATTGGCTCCATATTGAAAATTGAAGAAGCTGAAGAACTGGATTTTTTTCCAGAATTCTTTTTAAAAATGAAGAAATAAAGGCACGACGGACTTGAAATGAAAAAAATTTATTTCTTAAAAATTAATTTAAACTTACATAGTAGCACCAATAGCTACTCCTAAGAAAAAAGACAATTGTTTCTCCATTTTTGATAAAGATAAGATAAAGATTTGATAAAGAATTGTTTAGCGAATTGTTCTGCAAAAGTAAAAATATAAATTTTTGAAAATTATAGGGCATTTTATAAAACCCGTAAAATAAACTTGATTAAATTCAACCTGGGTGGCACAAAACTTAAATTTTTGGAAGCGGATAAAGCTTAAAAGAGAGGGAATCGCTAACAAAGCTATTGTAATCGGCTTTAAACCGTTTATCTCAATTCCCGCGAAAATAGCGTTATGTCTCTTTATCTTTTTCAAAATTTAAGGATCGGGGTCATTTGAGTGCGGCAAATTGAGTGTAAGCCAAATTTGATCGGCTACAACTTTTTTAATGCTTGATCCTATCCGAGTGAATCTTTAACTTTTTAAAGACCTTCGATAAGTGCTATCTTTTTAACAATTGGATAGATCAAGTCTGATGAATCAATAAAAAGTTACAGGTCGACAAGCACAATTATTTGGTGTTTTTCACATTTAAAGGTTTATAACTTTTTAATAAGAGATCGAACTTGATCCATCCATTTGGAATAAAGATACCGGTTATCAAGGGCTCTCGAACGATATAAAATTCATTCGGATGGGATCGGGCAAAATAAAGCTATAGCCGATCAAAGCTAGCTTACACTCAATAGGTGGCACTCAACTGACCAATTCTGAAATTCAATTGGTCGAAAATTTATTTGAAAACTTGTTAAGCGATACATATCCGGATTTTTAGCAACAAGAACTCAAGGCTTTTGGTGATTAAATCCCGCAGGATCGCGTTCCCTTTTTACGCTTTTATTATTTGAGTCCAATTCAAAAAAATTTTTTAAATGTGTGGCCATTGAATTGACATCGCCCTCGATATATTTTTTGAGAAAAAAATTTATTTTTATTCTTTAACTTAAGATTTGTCCGCAAATTTCAGTCTGCAAAAAAATTTTACTCACTCAATAATAGACAGACTATTCTCGTCTCAATTGAACCAAAAATTCGAAGAGAAAAGGTTGTTCTCCACTTGAGAGTGTCGAAACCAAAATTTGTTGTTTTTTCTGCTGCAGATTCTCTTCTTCCTTGTTTTATAATATTTGTGGGTATTGTTGATTTTCCCTCTTTCCTTTACCCCATGTACTGTTGCAGCAATTAATTGTTGGGCAAAACGAAGATGGGAAGTTGTTGGTTTTGTTGGGGGTTTATTTGTTATTAAATTATTTGTTGAGGGGATAGCCCTTATAGGGGCACAAAAAGTATGGGTTCGGCCATCCCTCCATCCAAACTCTCCCGTTGATAAATTATTTGTTTGTGGGGAACGACGAGCTGTTGTTGCTAATGTGGAGGCGGATGAAAGGGTTGTTGTTATGGAGGTTTTTTCTACACCAGAAAAAAATAAAGCTGAATGTTTTCGAATTGTTGGACCTTGAAAAAGAAAATCATTTTTAGGAAATCATTTTAAACGGAGTTGTCTTATTTTTTGTAAAAACAGCTTGATCCTTGGGGTTTTCATAATTAATGGGATGCTATAAGAATTAAAATTTCAAAAAATTTTTGGAAAAATTTCACTTAAAAATTCAAAAAAAAATTTTCAAAAATTTCAAGAAAATTTCTCAAAAAAATTTCAAAAAAATTTTCAATAAATTTTTTCATTAAATATTCACCAGCTTCAAATAACTGTGTTGGAATTAATTGAATCAAAAGGTAGCCAACAAATTAAATGAAAAGCGGCAATCCTCATTATTGCCATAGTCATTTCCCTCATATATTTAGGTTTTGGGACTGTTGCTATAAATAAATTATTTTGTTGTTGGGTAGAAGCTATTTGTTGTAAATTTGGACGTTTCTTCTTTTTATTTGTTGTTATTGGGTTATTGTGCAATTTAAACCGTTTTCGGTTGCTTTAACTGAATATAAAGATAGCCATAAAATAGAGGCACCACATGTTCCGATTGATAAAAGGGCACATAAGGGGGTTAATTGAACAGCTAAACGACGAACCTTTAAAAAGAAATATTTAATTTTAATATTTTAATTAATTTTTATTAGGAGGGCAGGGAATTGAAGATTTTATTTTCTCTTTTCAATTCCTCCCTTTATTCCTCCCAAAGTCTCATCCTCGCATACTTCCCTTTATCTCGTATTTTTTACCAAATGACTCAGAGATATGTCCAAAAGGGCACATAAGGGGGTTAAATCGCTTTTAGGGTTGAGGTAGGTTAGTGGATACGGACACCTGCCAATTTTACATGACACCCCGAAATAGGATGGCCTTGTGGTAGGTTAGTGGACTATTCCAGATTAGGATATACGGCGCCTTTCCATGTTCAATTAAGCAAAGGCTTTAAGAGAAGAAAGAGCTTAGATTTACCCTCCATAGAGATTTGGACCCTATCCCAAAAGAAGAGCGGAATCGTTTTTTCAATACCTGCAAGGAAAGGAAAAATGGAGACGAACGGACTCGGACAGACGTCCGTATTTGGTCTGACCCGAGTCCATGTTTTGCCCGTCCGTGTTTTGCCATTCGTCTCATTTTCTTTCCATTTTACTCCATTTTTCCTTTCCTTGCAGGTAAAGAAAAAAAACGATTCCGCCCTTCTTTTGGGATAGGGCCGAGATTTACATAGAGATTGTGACTTGATAAGGTATAACTTAAAACGTTATTGAAGACGCTTTTTGGAGTCAAACTTTGGCATAAAGCCTTGATCACGAGTCATGGAAAATTTTCGATCCTAGAGATTTGTGGGGTTAAATATGTATGTCCTTTCAACCTTTGTTTTTAAATAATAAAAAATTACTTTATTATTAAAAGGTTTTCGTATAGTAATAAATCGTTCAATGCTAATACAGGCCAAACAAGTAATTGAGCAAAGTTTGAATATATGGTCAATTGCAAAATTAAATTGACACCAATAATTAGCTAAAAAATAAAAATCTTAGAATTCAACAATTAATTTGAAAGGTTGACTCCCATACCCCCTCTAAAAGACTTTCCGATAAATGAGAGAGAGATGGGGATGAACTAAGAAGTTGAGTAAAATTAGAACACTTAGGCTATGGTCTCATCCAAACATACTTCCCTTTTCACATTAGAGATCGAGCTGGACCTGGACCAAGGCCTGGGTTTTTCCTGTACCCAGAATCCAGGCCCAGGCATTTTTTGACCTTCCTGGGTTTTTCCTGGACTACAGGCCCAGGATCCCGTCCAGGTCAAGAGATCAACTCCAGAGTCCAGGAACAGGTCCAGGCTTTTCAAAAATCTCGATCTCTACTGCACATAAAATTTTCAAGAAAATTTTTTTAAAATTTTCAAAAAAATTTTTAAGAATTTCAAAGAAAATTTTTTTAAATTTTTTTTATTAAATGCTATTCACCAGATTCAAATAACTGTGTTGGAATTAGTAGAAGCTATTTGTTGTAAATTTGGACGTTTCTTCTTACTTGTTGTTGTTGCTGTGCTATTAGTAGAACTTCCATTACTATATGAGGAATTTGAAGTTAATAGTTTAGCTGTTCCACAGGCTATTCGACGGCTATCTACAGACATTGACTGGCCTAACGATTTTGTTGTAACGTTGGAGAAGGAATTGGCAACGACTTTAAAGTGATGAAAATTTTAGAAAATAAATTATTTGTTGTATAGACTGGGAAGGTTTCTAAATCGATATCTCAAAAAATCTCGCCTCAGTTCGATTTCTAGCTGTAGTTAAATGACTTAAAGGATGGAATGTCAGCAGTAGAGATGCAGCTGGGTCTGGTCCAAGGCCTGGATTTCTCCTGTACCCAGAGTCCAGGCCCAGGCATTTTTTGACCTTCCTAGGGGTTTCCTAGGCCTGGGTTTTTCCTGGACTACAGGCCTAGGACCCGGCCAGGTCAATAAACCAAGCCCCAGAACCCAGGAGCAGGCACAGGCTTTTCATAAATCTCGATTTCTAGTCCGCAGCTACAATCTGCAGTCGGCAACTCTGATTACGGACTGCATTTTTGGCATCAAAAAAAATTTTTTTTTAATTTTTTTCAAGAATAATTTCGTCAAAAATTTTTTTCAGAAATTTTTTTTTAAAAACTTGCCTTAATCTATGTATCAGAAGGACAAACACTAGGCATTCCACTGATCAGATGCATAACCCACCCACCCACCCACCACATTTTTTAATTAATTATTTGAGCTGAAAAAAAATTGAATGATACAAATTCAACGGCAATTTTTATCGATAAGAAGTGTTGGGGAATGTAAAGGAATGTTAAAAAATAAAATTTTTCTTTAAAATTAAAAGGCACTTTTCTGTTTTTGCTCACTACATACATATTACTAGGTCAGTTCATCCAAAAATAAATTTTCCAATAAAAATCGATAAATCTCCCCTAAAAAATGGCGAATAATAGTCGCATAGAATTTTTGTACAAATTAAGCTTTCTGGTATTTTGTTTAGAAATCCGTCCCAGAACTTTTTCGAATACCAAATTGCATTAAATTTATTTTTTTCGGACTTAAAAACGGAAACTATAAAATTAACAAAATATGATTTGTATACCAACATACAAAAAATGAGTCTAAATTTTAAAAATATTTATTGAAAAAATAAATGTATTGGCGTGAGAAAGGGCACATACACATACGCAAAAAGCAATGAGTAGCACCAAAAAATATTTTAAAAAAAGTAATTTTATTTTAATTTAGCAAATAATGGGAGAGAGAAGAAGAGATTTTTAGAAATTATTAAAAAAAATTTCAGATATTTTGAAAAAATTTTTTGGAACCTTTTTAACCTCCAAAAACACGTATTTTCTGCTTAGCCCTCCCCTTCCTCTTCTACATATTTCCTTTCCAATTCCCCTCAACATCTCCCCCTCTTTTCTCTCTCCCTCTCATTTTATTTTTTTTCTTTTATTTATTCTCTAAGTCAATAAACGCAGTTGGAGATCTGCTGAATTGGATGGTTATGTTCTCCCGATCGAAAAACATTAATTGTTCCATTATTCTCAGTCACAGCTAATCTAAAAAATATTTTTAAAATTATTTTTAAAAATATTTTCTAACAATTTAAACATGCAACGCTCATTGTGTCTGTGTCGATTGCATCGAAAGTGACGATTCTTGCCATGAAAAGTCGTCTTATGAACAGTCACGCGTTGGCCCTATTGAAAAATTTTTTTCAATTTTTAAAATTTTTTTTCACAAATTTTCACACCTGCCTAAGCGTCTCCAACTCATCTGCAGTCCGAACAGTCGCATGTGGGATCCAACTCGTTCGCTGTCCGCCTGCAAATGAAAATGGGACAATTGGCAAAGATTGACAAAGGGATGTGGGAGCGATTAGCCCCACCCACCCTGGGCCCGGCATGAAGGCGCCCGACCTGTAAAATTGAAGAGATGTACTTGAGCAATGTCACATATGAAATATAAAAATAATTTTTTTGAACAAAAATTTTTTTTTGATTTTTAAAAATTTTTTTTCGAATTTTTTTTTTGATTTTTTTAAAAATTTTTCCGAATTTTTAAAAGAAAAAATTTTAAAAATTTTTTCGGATTTTTTTGAAATTTTTTTCTTGCTTAACCTGACGGCACCACAGCATGATTGTGTTCCCCACTTCTGAAAACCTTAAATGTGCCGTCGTCAGACTGAATCGCCAACATTTTGAATGGACATTTCTCTTGGTGGCGATGTCGATTGCAACGATAATGCCTAAAATTTTCAAGGAAAAAAAATTTTTGTTGCTTAAAATCTCTCAAAAAACACCTAATCATCTGTTGTCTTCCATCTGGAGTGCCATTCGTAATTGTTTTGTGAACAATTGCCTGGCTCTGCACCTTTAATTCTTCAAGCAAATCTTTGTTCTGAACAGTAGCCATAAACTCCATGTTTTGTGCTGCAGCAGCTTAATTAAATTTTTTTGTTAAAAAATACCTCTAAAATAACTAGAAAAACAACTTTAAATGACAAAATAAAGGCGATAATAAATATGGGACCCGAGCGGGGTCGAACCTCCCTCGAATTTAATAAATGAACAGAGAGCGAATCCACTGGACTAAAGAAACAAAAAATCCCATTAAAATCCCTTTGCGCCAACAATTTATTCGTTTTATTTATCTCAACTTTTTTAAAGCTTTGCAAAACTATTTGAACCAATTTTTAATTAATTTATGTTCTATATGTAGTAAATCAGCTGGGATAGCTATTTCTCTCCTTTAGCTAGTGCAAAAGGTTATTCGGACGGCTGGGAGCGAACCAGCATCTTCAGTAGACCGGACTGATGTTTTATCCATTACACCACGCCGGCTACTTGGCAGCCTTAGGAAAGCTAAAAGCTATATGCTTTAAAATGCATAGCAGACTTTAAAAAACAAGGACTTGTTAATTTGAACTCCCTATTACCCTCCTATAATTCCTCATCATCGAAAATTATCAAAACAATTTTTAAAAATTTTTATAAATAATTTCAAATGAACTCTCAAAAAATAACAGATGAAAAAATTATTAGCCCCACCATTTCCCCCAACATATTCAATGACCTTAATAAAATCACCTTAATAAAATCTTTTGACCTTAATAAAATCACGCCTCTCACCCCTTTCCCTTATATTTTTTGCCCTCTTTTGCCCCTTACACCCCTCTTTTTGCCTCAAAAAAACTTTCAATACATTTTTAAAAATTAAAATAATTTAATCTCATAAACTTTCACTTTTTTTATTACCGGCCGCCGCCGCTGCAGAAGCCGAATTATTGCTGCTATTTGATTGTTGTTGAACTCCAGCAGATGGTGCCATTGTAGGAGCTGCTGGTTCTCGCTTAATAACTTGTTGCTGTTGTTGTTGCTGCTGAGCTTGTTGTTGCTGCTGTTGTTGTTGGGCAGCGAGCTGTTGGGCATTCTGTTGCATAGTAACAATTTGGTGTGCATTTGGTGGAAAACCCATTGCTGGACTGAATAAATACATATAATGATAATAGACGTGGGTTGGTTAATGATCTGGATTGACCCGGTTAATTATTGTGGTTACCTTTGATTTTCCAGGAAATAAAATGTAAGAGGGGGTTAATAAGAGAAAAACTTGCTCACTTGAAATTCATCACTCCCATGCCACTGAAGAGACTCCAAGACATTTTTTTGCTATATTATATTTTACTGTATTTTACAGTCTTACAACTCTGTTAATTTAAAATTTAATTAATTTCAATACTCTTGACCATTAGTTCCCTTTTAGGCAGGGGGTAAGGGAAGGTTAAAGGTCTAAAAGGAAAAAAAGGAAACCGAGGTTACGTAGCGTTACAAATTGGAGGGAAAGAACCCCAACACCGGGGAGGGGGCCAAGCTGCATCAGCACACGTCGGCGGCGTCGAACAAGGGGAAAGGCTGCAGATGGGGCTGAAGAAGGGCACAAGGGGTGCAACGAAAAGAGAGGACCCACCACTGAGGCTGTGTTGGTGGGGGAATTGTAAGGGAACGAAGGATAAAAAAGGAGGTGGTTGTTGGTGAAAGTGTATATTTTGGGGGAAACGATGTTGTCAGCGGAAGAATTGGTCGATCGGTCTGGGGCAGTGGATAAGAGGAAGAAATGAGGAGAATGGTGGAGGAGGAATGGAAAAAATGGGGGGAAGTGTTGGGGGGAGCGGATGAAGAAAGAAGTACTTGTGTGCTGTTGTGGGGCGAAATGGTTGGGGGTAAGGGAAGGGCTAGTAGTAGGAAAATGGGTGGGTGGGGCTGGAAAGGATTGGTGTGTGGCTGTTTTGTGGGTCGGTGTTGGGCGGTTGGGGGAAAGTGGTGGTGACGGATGGTCGGAGGACACTGAAGACGGAGAGAATTGTTGGAGGAAGAGCAAAAAGAGATGACGGGAAAACACAAGCAGGAAGCGCATGCGAGCGTAACGATTGAGGAAGAGTAAAGGGGTTAATATATAGGGACAGTTGTAAAAAAAGGGTCGACTGGGGTAAGGACGATTGCCGGATGGCAGACAAACAAACAAACACGATCAATTTAGAAAGGAAAAGCTAAGGGATGTGAAAAAGACCGAAATGGACATTAGCTGTTGGATATCTGAGACTTCATTTGTTGGGTAAAAAAGAAGGACGACTTTTGCAAAAAGGCGTAGACTTGTATTTTAGTGTTAGTTTTGGTCCTGTTGTTTTCCTATGAATGGGTGGGGAAATTTGTGTAAAAAGGGGGGGAAGGCTGGCGGGACTTCTCTGTGAAGGGTTGATGGGTTAGAGATAAATTGAGAGGGGTGCAGAAAGAGTGAGAAGGTGGTAGCGCGTCATACGGCTGGAAAGGGGTGATGACGGAGAAAGTTAGTGTAAGGGTAGGGGGGAGAGTTTGCAGAATAAAAAGAGAGAAGAAAAGTCGTCTTCTCCAAGTCATTATTATCAACCAGCCGGGCGAAGCAAGTCATTTTGCTGCGGTGTCAATTGAGTAGTAAGAAAGGAAATATAGTAAAAAGACTTTTAAAAACTACTTAATATACATTTTTTAATTTTGAAAAAAAATAAATTTTCTTATTTTGTAAAACGACACTCTCAAAACACAGTAAGAGTTAATTATACAAAGATTTTCTGCAAAAATTTCTTTAAAAATAAAAATTTCCAGTCATGTCTACTCCTTCCAATCATTTCTCAATTGCTTATCGATTCACTAATTTTTTGCACAACTTCCCTTTATTTTATCTCTTCCAAACTATTAATGTTCTTTACGGACTGGCAATAACCGGCCATTACAGGAAACGCCAAAAGATCACTTTTTGAACAGGAAAAAGAATTTTCTTTCTATTTTCCTTTGAGAGGAATAAATAAATTCAGACTAGGATTCTCCGTCCTAGCTTAAGAACACTCCTGGAATTTTTTTAAATTTTTCCCTAGGCTTCATCTGACAGGAGGCCTTAGATTCTCTCTCTTATGTATTCAGGACATCAGGCAAGACTTTTTTATTCTTTTTGAATTTTTACAAAATACATAATGCCAAACGACCAAAAAGAAAAAAATTCGCCCCATCTTAAGAACACCCCTGAAATTTTTTAGAAATTTTCCCGAGGCTTCCTCTTACAGGAGGACTTAAGTCCTCTCTCTTATTCAGGACCCCAGACAAGACTTCTTTAAATTTTTGAAGATTAGAGGAGATTTTTACAAAATACACAACGCCAAACGGACAGAAAGTAATTTTTTAAAATGGCACAAAAAATTGTTCTAAGACCCAATCTTTAAAGTTTTTTGTTTTTCAGTTTAGTGGGGTCAGGTAGAATTGAAAAACACATTAATAAATGAAATAAGGACATGTAAAATCTCTTTATTTTTAATTTAAAATTTAAAAATCGTTTATTTCCCTAAATAAAAACATTAATTGTTAAACAGCGCCCCTCCATTTGACATCATTTTAGTGCTAGCTTCAGCAGCTTTTCTCCCATAATATGACCAATAAACGATCTAAAAAATATTTTTTATATTTTTTAAAATTTTTAAAAATTTTTTTAATACTTCTTAAATATGTATCAAAAAAATAAAGAAAAACTTAAATTAAATAAGGCGAACATTGTTGGAAATGCAATTCTTGATATCTAAAAAAATTATTTTTAAAAATATTTTAGGAAAATACCGTAAAACTTTTATTAACTACCCTGGGTAATTATTGTTGAGACCTTCCACTGGGGGGACTAATTAGTCGAGGGAGGGTACTTTTACAGTTTGAAATTTGAACGTCTTTTAGGGCGTTTGATTTGGGGTAATTATTGTTTGAAACTATCGGTGGATGGGGTAATTAATGGAAGAGGGGGGGGGTAATTATTTGAGGGAGGGCAATTAATACAGATTCTTTTAATAAGACGTTCATTTAATTTCATTTAATATACAAATTATTCAAATAGGAAACATTTAACGGTTGGAAATCTCCTTAAAAGTCCCACTACAGTACCCTTACTTAAAAGGGTACTTTGTGGTACTTCGAAATTTTTTTGAGATTTTTTTGGGATTTTTTGTTTATTTTAAATCTATTTAAAAAATGACTTAAAAATTCACCTTATCAATAGTATCTGGTTGTGCATTAGCCAAGGGTGTTAAAATAATTGTAAATGGCATCAGAATATATGAAAGCAAAGGTATTTGATGATATTTCTTTTGAGGTAGAGCTGAACTTCTCGTTGGAATATTGCTGACAACAAATTCTGTGTTTACCCTGAAACAAAAAAATTTTCTTAAATATATAGTTTTAGAGATGGTTTTTCAGAATTCTTTCTAAAAATTTTTTTGGGATTATAGTATTTCCTGACACAAAACCCTACTCTTGAATTAGAGCCCAATTTCGAAGAATATTTTTAGAATAGAATCTCGAGTAGGGTTGTCGGTTCCTGAAAATTCTTCGGATATCTGAAATCCGAATCCGAAACCGAACCGAAAAATCCTCGGTTTGGTTCGGTCCAGAACCGACAACCCTAACCTCGAGGCTTTAGGTTTTTTTATAAAATACGGTATAATACAAAATTACTGTATAGTGGACAATTTTTTGGAGAGGCGGAAGATTCCATAAAGGAAATTTCTGTTTTTATTAATCAAAATATTTTTTAATCATTTTTGGAAAAATTAGCCAGGGGGATTATTTCAACTCACTGCTTAAAAATATCGTTCCTCATCTTTTAAATTCTAATAATCAAAAATCAACAATTTCACAAGGAGTAACTAATGTTTATTTTAAAAATTTCCCTTTTTCCCCTCAAAAAATACCGACATTTGACTTAGAAAAATAAAAAATAAAACCCCAAATTTAGAAAAAAACTATAAAAAATTAACGGGAACATAAAGCGTCTCTCTGTTCCTTTTTGTAAAGCAGCTGCTGGGCCAAATTTGGGAGATAATTCATCTCCACTAAAATTATCATTTAATTCTTCTACATCGCTCTTTCTTCTTAATTTATTATTATTTTTGTTATTTTTACACAAAAATGTTGGAAATCTTAGAAATTTTAATTCTTTTTTAATTCCAAAATTTGTTGTCTTTTTGTATTTTGTTGGTACTAAAAATTGATATTTTTAATAAAAATAGTCCCTTTCCTCCCTTGACTGCTTAAAAATATCATTCCTATTAATTGCTTATCCCAGGGATAGATTGAGTAAAGCAGCTGGGCTATAGCTATTTCTCTCCTTTAGCTACTGCAAAAGGTTATTCGGCGGCTGGGAGCGAACCAGCATCTTCAGTAGACCGGACTGATGTGTTAGCCATTACACCACGCCGCCTACTTGAAACAATAATTACACAAAATAATTAGGTGATTAAGAAATTAACGTGAATTGCATTTAACAGATCTAGATCAGATTTACTACACGACTTAAAAATATTTTCGATATTGTTATGGGAAAATAACAACGAGCTGATAAAGTTAACAAAAGTTTTGTGAAAGTTTTAACTTCCGTATCTTGTAATTTGTTTGGATTATCAGTTTCGCTAGCAGAGGTATTGCCTATCAAGTAAATTCTGAGGTAGTTAAGGTAATTAGCTTATATTAACGAGTATACTAATTATTGTCTCTAATAAAAGCCCATCTCCAATATAAGCCCAGTCAATGAGGGGTATTGAAAAATAGACGCCCAGGGCTTGTATTAAAGATAATACGGTATTGAAAATTAGTATATTTTCCAAAGAATATTTCTTTTAAATTTACCATTAATTCCACTATTCTTTTTCGATCCTCCACTTTTTTCCCTAACTTTAAACCCGACAATTGCCAATTCTAATAAACCTAAAATTTAATTTAAAATTTATGTCCAAATTAAAAATTAACTGCAAAAAACAAAGGACATTGAAACAAGCATCCAAACATCAATTGCTTTTACATAGGAGACACGAGGCAAATTTCTATAAATTTCTTTAAAATTCCTTAAAAAATTATTTTACCTCATAATATTGCCAAATTGGAAAATCATTGCCTTAATAAAATAAAATGGAGAAAATTAAATTCTGGTTGATAAACTAACCAAAAGCGCGTTGACTCCGAGCTTAATAAAAAAATATTTAGTAAATTTTAATTTTTAAAATTATTTTTAATCCTAACAAAATACAGAAAGCTATCTAATTCTATTTTTTCTATAACCCACTAAATTTAAAAATTATTAGGGGAAGGTTTGATTTTTAAAACTCATATCTTGGTTCTATTCTTCGGAGTTAATGTCCAAAATTTCTTTAAGAATAGTTTCGTAGGAAATTCTGAAAATCATAAAAAAGTCAACTATTCGATACAGTTGTACTTCACTATATGATACACATTTAGAAGTAGATACACCCCCGTTTATGATATACTTTTAAAATTTAGTTAGCCATTGGTGTTAGTGAGGGGAGGGGGAGGGGAGTGGGAGATGTCTAAGCAATAAACCGTAAAACCTCTAATTGAAGAGGGATATGTTGAGGTCTTATGTATTATAATTACTTTTAAGGGCTAGGACGGTTGCCCTATCCTATTAGAAAAATTTTAAATTCAAATTACCATAGTTCTTGCAGGAATTGCTTTAGGTCCAAGACTAAACGATACCCAACTTTAAGATTTTTTAAATTATTCTCAATTCAAAAAATTTCCATTTACCTTATAAATATAGTTAAATAAGTAGGTACATAGGCTTGTAAAAAATACCAAATATACCTCTAAATTATTTTAATTTAAAATTTAATTTAATCAAAAAACCCTTTCAAAAGACAATTTAACGTGTAATTCATCCTTTTTTCAAAATTTTATTTTTAATAATTAAATTATAATTAATTTACATACCCACATCCCTGCAGGATAAGGCTAAAAGAATTTTTTTAAATGGAAAATAAAGTTAAATAAAAGATTTTTTAATTGGGGATGTTCATGACATGTTTTAACCCTAGGTTTTGTTATTTGATCTGAAAAATTAATTGTTCGTTTTTCTGACTTCCAAATAAAATTGCTAAATTCTCTAATACACAGACTTGTTTTCGAATCAAACCCCAAAACTAGAAAAATTTTAAAAGTCGGTCCTAGTGCCCTAGTCTGAATCCTTCCTATCAATCTTCTAAAGTTCCTCGGAACAGAAATTTAAAATTAAAGATCTATAGACAGGTCGGTTACTATTAGAAATAGGGTTGGGGCCCGGTTATCTGCTCTTTCGGGCCAGTCTTCGTCGAAATGACGCGATTGGGCGATTGGCCCCTTCGCTAACCAAATCCTAAATCATTAGAAATACCTACATACTTTAAATTAAAAACAGCTCATTTAGAAAATTATAAACAGACTTTAAGATCGATCAAAATTTTCGAAAATCTTAGTTTCGACAAGCAATATTTCCCAAGAAATAAAGTAGCAATAAAAAAAATTTTGAATACAAAAAATCACCTCAACAACTAAAGTAGTTTGTATATTCATAAGATTAAAATCGGGTAATAAAATATTTCCAATAGGGTAAACAGGGTTGGGATTTGCCGGATTCCAACGCATACGAACTTCTTGGTTATTATAATTAAAACTTTCATAAATTAAATGGCAAGTCTGTATATCCATTGGGAAATTGGTTCTTTAAAAATTTTAAATATTTTTTAATAATTTAATAGAGCAGGGCAACTACGGTTTATCATATTTTTCGATTGAAAATCGACATTGAAAATTAGAAAAAATCAAATCGAGTTAAGTTTCATAAAGAATTTTATATTAGGGTTAGTCAACTTCGGTTTAAAACCAGTCGATAGGGTTCTGGCTATGGTTAGTTTACAGCCAGTATATGCCAATTAACCAGATGGCTCACCTAACCATAGCGAGAATTTGGACGAAGACATGGAATTTGAGGGCTAGTTCCCGAGTTTTAACAACCCTGAAAGGACTGGAAACCCTGAAAGAATTGGGTTTAACCCATAATTATTAACTAATATTTTTGTACTTACAAATCCATAGCACAAGGGCCTTTAATTCTAACACGCTTTAAAATTAAAATTCAAAAATATTTTAATTAAAAAACTAACATAATTAACCCAAAGGGTCCCATTTGGGTATAACATTAAAAATATATTTCTGAAAAATAAAAAATTAAATTTAAATACAGTCTTATCTCATTATAAGATATATATTTTTGGGGAATTGTATCTTATAATGGGATGTCTCTTACATAGAAGGTATTGCTTATTTGTTAGATATCTCTTCCTTAACACTCTTCACCTACTCAATTACCTAACAACACTAAAAGAAGTGTCTTAAATTGAATTGATCTTGTATTGAGAGTAGCTTATAATGAGGTGTATCTTAAATGGAGAGTATTGTTTAGTCTTAAATAGATGGTATCCATTTAGTGGCCTATTAAAATTTAAAAAAGCGTATCTTAAACTGAGGTTTCTTTGGTATTTGGGGTGTCGTATAATGGGTGTATCTTTAATAGAGAGTTAACGTTTAGTCATCTCTTCTCAAATTCCTTTCACCCACTTGATGGCCAAACAAATAAAAAAAGCGTATACTAAGCTGAGGTGTATTTAATATTGAGGGGGGGGGGGATATATCTTATAATTAGGTCTGACTTTAATCAGCTAACTATAAAAATTAATTTTAAATTTTTAACTAAAAAAATTTTTTTCTCACTGGAAAGGAGAATTATGTATTTGAGCAACTTTGGAATTAATAAAACAAGAATTTGGAGACCAAAGCCTTTAAAAATTTTTATTTTTAACTGAATAATTAATTGAATAAAAGTAAACTTTTCCAAAACTTGATGGCTAAGTGTTAAATTTTGTTTACAGGGACTCATATGCTTTAAAAAATTATACATATTTTTTATTTAAATAAACATTTTACTTCAAAATTTAAGGAGGGATCTAGCCACATCTAAAAAAATTAAAAGAAAATTAAAAGAATATTTAATTAAGGATTTTTAGAATTTATTAAAGGAAGAAAAAGGAAGGAAGACCCATCTAAACTGCTAGTATTTAAAAATAGGGTTGAGGGTTTCGAATCGGCCCGACCGAGTCTTTATCAGGCCAAATTCGATACCCGACTCAATCTTTCGGACAGTAGCGGGCTACTAACTCTATTTAAGGTTGCCCTGCTTGATAGGCAGGGACTTAAGATTTATGAAAAAAGCGATGGCACTCCGATTATGAAACCGGATTAGAGCACTTGTAGGAAGATCGCAGGAGAGCCGTTGAATGACTTGGACTACTTCCCCTATACCCGACGGTCCCTCCTTAAAATTTCTTTTTTTCCTCAAAATTTACTTCATTAATATAAATATCCATTTCAAAATCGTTTGTAATTTCATTAATTTCTGTTATTGCCTAAAAAATAATTTTTAAATAATTATTAAAAATTAATCTTTACTTGAATCCAAAATTCAATACCAACATCAACACCATTCTCAGCTAAAAATTAATAGTTTAACTTCACTATAAAATCCCTTCTATTTAACATACGTTTTGTATAAATTTGTTTGGCCACTTATTTGTTAGTGGGGAGGATATTTTTTTAAAGGTTTTTAGGGGTGGTATATATTTTTTCCGATATATTTTTTAAAATTAATTCTTGGTTAGTCACTAATCAAGGATTGTCGATTCACCACATTCCTCGGTTAACCAAACCGAAAATCTTTGATTTTTATGTGTTCGATTCGGGTTGAAACCAACAACCCTGAATAGATATATTTCAGGGATATTCTCAGTTTAAAACACCTCGTTTTAAGAGACTCCCATTAGTAGCTACACCTATTCTAAGATGTTTTTTAAAAGGCTACTAACAAATAAGTGGGTTAGTGGATCTCGAGGAGATAATCTAATACGATAATCCGATTTTTAGTTCCAAAGGGGATGTATCTAAAAGCGAGGTCAGACTTTAATTAAAAATTAAATAAAATTTTATATAATTTTCTACCAGGTATTCTATATTTATTGTAGCCTGTTCCATTAAGTAATTTATCAATTATTTGTACTTGAGTAGTACAATTATTTAAATGTTTTGGTTTTTCCTTTGGAAAATTTTTTTGAAATTTAAAATCAAAAAAAACTTTAGATTGTTGATTATTTTCATTTTTAACATTATTCATAAAATCAAAAGCTGGAAAGGGTTTGTCTGTAGTGCTCTCACCTTCAGGTTTTTGTTCATGAAAAATATGCAAAATGCCTTTGAAAAAAATTTTTTTAAATAGAAAAAATAATATTTTCTAAGTAATGCAGTCAAATCTTCCTCATATGTAACGCTTTCCAAATTTTATTAGACACTTTGGAGGGGGAGCTTTCTAATGATACCCCCAAATGTGTGTACACCTCGGTATTTTGTAGTTTTCAGACCCAAGGATGTAAACATAGTCATTATAGTTTAAAAGTCTCTAGTTGGATCATACTAGTCCGGCTAGTCCTTGATTCACTTCGTCTGTTCCATTTCCTATTAAATTAGGGCACGCCGAAATTAGTATGTATTTGTGCTTACAAATTGGCCCAAAAAGATTTTTTTTTCGGATTATCCGTCTAATTTCTGTTAAAATATTAATTCGACATATTTCCACCTTTCAAACAAAGGTAATCTAATGTCAATTCCAAATTTAAATAAAGATATTTTAAATTACCATAATCAACATCATTATTATCTACAAACTCGTTATCAACACTTCTTGCACTTTGGTGCTCTCGAAAAGGCAATGAATTTAGAATATTAATAAATAAAAATAAAATTAAGAGGTTCAAGTTAAAAAGAAAGAAAATCATTTAACTATAAATTTAAAAAATAATTATTATTGGAGGATAATTAAGAGGATAATTATTCCCAGAGGATAATTATTCCCAGAGATAATTATTGAATAATTATCCTTTGGGAATTCCTGATAAATATTTTAAATTTTATTTTGATTAGAGTTTTAACGTCGAGATTAGGACGAGTAAGAGGATAGTCAATGGAAAAACAGAAGCCTTTCTTTTTTAACAAAAAATTCCCTTTTTTAAAGTCTTTAAAAGTCTGTCCAATAAATATATTTATCAATTTTAAATATTCCCGTGAGGAGGAAAAAAAAAGAAATTTTCTTCTTTTTGGCAATAATCCCCCTTTATTTTTCTTAAATTTGTTATTATTAAGTAAAAAATTTTCTCGAGTTGACTAATTTTGGTTATAAACAGTTTTTTATTGTTGGAAAAAATAAAAATGTTGGGGTTGGAAAAATAAAAGGTTGGGAGTTGGTTATTCCAATTTATGACTTTTAACTTCCAAAAAATTTTTAATTTCCAATTTCCGAAGGTCGGATTAGTCGGAAAAAAATAAAAATTTGGGGAAGATTTGTGGCTATTTAATTTTAAGATTAAAAGTAGGGTTGTTGTCCATGATCGGTTTTAAACCCGGAAATTTTGATATTTTTTACCAAAAATTAGCCGTTCTTACAAAAATTAAAAAAACCGAAAACTTCTTAAAATGGGTGATTTTATTAAAAATTCCCTTAAAATAAAAGCGGTATTTGTCTAAAATTTGAATTAACCGAAAACCAGGGGTACCGGTTAATAACAGATAGTGAACAACCATAATTAAAAGGTTGGGATCGGTTATTCCAATTTATGACTCTTGACCTCCAAAAAATTTTTTAAATTTCTTAGTTTCGTTTAATTCGCAAGTACAGCGGATACAGACGGATATCCGTAGGCATTTTGAACTTATCTGTATCCATATCCGTATCCATCACCAGGCCTGGTTGAACAGTTCAACCTTGCTATTTTCTGAGATCATTTTGACCCCTTTATTCTGCTTATTAAATATAAAAACTGCCTTATAAAATATACCATTTTTGTTTTATATTTAAACTAGTAAATCTTTAAAAAATAAAATAATTTTTAATAAACCAACCAAAAAAACTTTTAAAAAAGTACTTTTATTTATAAAATTCATAAGGAAATGAAGCATAAATATTTTAAATATTCAATAGTTAATTACTTTCTCGGTTGGAGCGCCTCTTTTATAAAAATGCAAAAAAATATTTACATTAAAAAAACAAAAACTTTCTTTTTGGGTAAAATCTTGGAAATTTATTTTGTCAAAAATTATGGAAAAATAAATTTTTATAAAAAGATTTTTTAAAATTATTTTTTGAAGAGGGTTAAAATATTGTTTAGAAGGACACGTTTGAGAAAAACATATTTTTATAAAGTAGAAATAATTTGGGAAGGATTTGGCATTGGACATCAAGGATAGAGGGGTTACATGGATTACCTAAAAGTAGATAACTAAGTCCGGACTTTCTCCGACCTGAAACCCGATCCATAGGAAAGCTGGAAAACTCTACCCGATTTTTTCTCAGCCAAATTAGCGTCTGTTCCAATTTCCAAGTTTCAACAGGTAGGGAATGTCTTTAATTCTTTCATTTAGGAAAAGTTAGTCCTTGGCTCTATCTTATGATATAGTAAGAGCGAGGTAAAAGTTCAATCCCGGGCAGGCTTCGATCCTGCGACCTCCAGCGGAACTCGGAAATCGGAAATAAATTTTTTTTCGGAAATCGGAAATCGGAATTACGACCCACCTCTGGTCAATAGCAGGGCTGTGCGTCATGGCGTTTGGCGTCTGGCGTTTTGCGTTTTGGCGTTAATTTTGGCCGATTTTTGGCGTTTTGCGTTTGGCGTGATTTTCCGATTTTGGCGCGCCAAACGCCAGAAATATAGACCCCTATTGATGGGAATTTTTTAAAATAATTGGTAGAAGGGACGATCGAGAATGGAAATTTTTCTGCTTACAGTCTTCCAAAATTTTCAAAATTTTCGCCTGCCGCGCATAAAAATGAAGAAATCTACTGCTTGGACTTCCAAAATTTTCAAAATTTTCGCCTGCGGCGCTTAAAGTAGGGAGCTCTTATCTAAAACTAATACTTCCATCATGGTCTTATCTAAAACTAATACGTCATCATCAACCATTTACTCACTTCAAGACCTATGTTATTCTTATTACCCACTTCTTGTCTTCATATCCACCTTAATCTCACGGGGTTCTACCCTAATTTTTTCCTTTTCCTCATTTCGGGAGATAGGAATTCTCCCCCATTGGCTAGGGCCTGCTTCCTGGTCTTACTTAATTCAAAAAATTTTCAAAAACTCTTCAAAATTTCGCATCCGGCGGTAAAAAAGGATGAATTCTAGCTTCTAGGAATCTTGAAAATGAAAAAAATTTCGCCTGCGGCGCTAAAATGAGATGAAAAGAGGTTTTTGAGTCTTTATAGACTATAAAAATTTTGGCGTTTGGCGTCTGGCGTTTGGCGTTTTGGCGTTAATTTTGGCCGATTTTTGGCGTTTTGCGTTTGGCGTGTTTTTAAAATTTGAAAAATTGGCGTTTGGCGCGCCACGCGAAAATTTTGGCGCACAGCCCTGGTCAATAGGTGCGAGATCTTTCTAAGCGATACCTCTTTAAGGTATTTGGTCATTATTTTCAACCCCAAGGGTGTGCATCTACAAGTTAGACCCGACTAAATTTATTTTTTATTTAAAAAAGCATTTAGCATCGATTTTCCTTTAAAGACTGGCAACAACAAAAATAAAAAAATAAATGCTAATTAAAACTTGGGATGTCCAAGAAGTTAAACGGTTAAATATGTGTGTGTTTGGATGTTTATTTGAATTTAAAATATACATATTACGTAAATGTGTAGGGCATTTTATTAAGCATTTTATAAAGAAGTTTTTTTAAATAAAAAATCCAAAATTTAAAAAAAATTTTTTAATTAATAATTGGAAAATTGTTGTTGGGGAACTTGTCATGTTTTTTACCCATCCCTAGCAGGGCTGTGCGGCAAAATTTTAGCGTGGAATGCCTAACGCTCCAGTATTTCAAATTCTAAAAATACGCCAAAAGCAAAACGCCAAAAATCTGCCAAAAATGGACTCCAGAACGCTCAGCCTTAAATTCCTAGTCTCCAATCTAATAAGCTTTTCATGTTAGGGCTTCTATAAGTAATATAAAAATCTAAAATGGTATAATGCCAGACCAATTTAGATTTGCAGGATCCCTACTATACACCTCTGAATTCCAATACACCAGAGATCCTGCAGACAAAAAAAAACAAAATTTCCGATTTTTTTCGGGAATTCTCGACCCAAAATCGATGGGAATTCCCGATTTCGGGGAATCGGGAATTTGGATCGGCAGGATCCCTCTATACACCTCTTGAAGGAGGGAAAAGAGTATCTAAGATCAAGGATGTTTAAAATGCGAGGCGAACACTTTCCCCATCCAGTAGCTATCTAAAGCTTAAGAATGCATTCTAAACACCGTTATATGCCTGAATAATTGCACTGGCTAATTGTTGTTTCCGCCACTCGCTGGAGAGGTAATTAATCGGAAGGTGGCAATTATTTGAGAGAGGGTAATTGAGAGGGGGGGGGGGTGTTTCCGATTTAAATTTAAAAAAAGTTTTGTTTAGAAATTTAGAGAACTTGCTCTTAAAAACTTTAATTATTCATGTAGGAAGACTAGAAGAAAGACGAAAATCAAAAAACAAAAAACTCTTGCCTATTGACTGCTTCAACATTGAATAACCGAAAAACTTATTAAAATTTTCTATCTTCTCTTAAAAATTTTTCTCCTGGCTGTGCCGCTAAATTTTATCCGTCCACTTTAAAAAATTAAATTTTTTAAAAATCAATTTTTTTTAAATTTAGACAATAAAAAATTTAAATAGATTTGTCCGGACATTAAAAATTAATTTTTCAATTGTCTAGTCAATTTTTAAAATTGAAAAAAATTTCTTTAAGTCATAAGATTGTCTGGCTTTTTTATTTATATTTTAATATTTTAAATAAAAAATAATTTAAAATTTTTTGTTTGGAATTTCTTTGTTTGTTTGGATTTTTTGGAATTTTCTTTATGTATAATCTTAGTTTTAACAACCCTTTTACATCAGAAAGCATTCAGAGTTATTCTTGAAACAAAACTTCTGCTAGTTTTTATAAGGGGTTCGGCCACTTTAATATAGATCAGTGTCAATTTGTGTGTGTGTGTGTGTGTGTCATTTATACATTAACATCAGTGTCAAATCTCACTTAATCAGTGTTAAATTGCTAATGGTTAACTTCAGGGACCATTTGCCAGATGTTCGAGCTCAATTATAAAAACACGTTATTAAAATAGGATTTTTCTATTACATCCCTAAATTTAACATGCCCTTAATAACAAGCAACCTCGTTTGTAATCCTTCAACCCGCCGGAGTTATTTACAGCTGAGACCCGCCATAACCCAAATTTATTAATTTAACTTTATTTATTTAAATTTAATTCATTAATCTTTAATGTAGACTACCGTATTTCCTGAAATAGTACTCCCCCCTGAATTAGCACTCCCCCCTTAAATAGTACTCCCCTTTAGAGGAGGGTTGAAAAATAGTACTCCCCCCTGAATTAGTACTCCCCCTAAAATAGCACTCCCCCCTAAAAATTTTTCTCCTATATTTGAAAAAATAAAAAGAGACTCATTGAATTATTTTATTTATTCTAAGTAGCGTTGTCGGTTTCACTTGATTCTCCTATAAACAAAACCGGAAAGCCTTCGGTTAACCGAAAACGAACTGAAATTTTAACCTAAAATTTTTCGGAGATTAAAGAAATACAATCCGGTTAATTGGTGGGGTAAAAGTGGATTTTGGGGGATATAAAGGGATTGATATCTGATGATAAAATGGGTTCTGGATTGATCAAGTAGGATTTAAAAGATATCATTGGATTAAGGTTTGATGAAGGGATTTGAGGGGAATACACACAAGATTAGTTAACCCTATGAGATTAGTTAATAGAGGGATACACACGAGACTAGTTAACCCCCTGATAAATTCCTAGACAGAGATATTTCCACTATATCCCAAAAAATTAATTGATAATCATTTTATTAATATCATTTTATTATTATTGATAATCATTTTATTATCATTTTAATATCAACTTTATCCCCTCAAATCTCACGATATCGCTTTTAATCAAAAATTACCTGGCATCCCTACTAATCCGCTAAAACGTCAATATCCTTCTCAATCCTGATAATTTTTTCGACATCCAACTTAATCTATCGATATCTCTTAATCGCTTAAAATCCCATTATACCCCTGGATATCACTCCAAATCCACTAATATCCTTTTTGCTTTCCCTCAATAACCCTATTTTAAGTCACTTGTGTTTAAAAGTCTCGCAAGTTGCTCAATTTTATACTAATTTGGAATCCACATTTCTTGAAAATCCAAATTTGGATCCGGCATTTTTCAAATTACGAACTCTAATTGATTTAAACATTTAAAATTTTGAGACAAATTTTCCTAAGATAAATCATGGAGGTAGGTTGAAAAATAATACTCCCCCCTGAATTAGTACTCCCCCCTTAAATAGTACTCCCCTTTGGAGGAGGGTTGAAAAATAGTACTCCCGGGAGTACTATTTTAGGAAATACGGTATATTGATTATTGAAATTCTTTTTCTATTGCCCTCTGTAATTGCTTTTAAGTTGCCCTTTAATTTAATTAAAGCATTCGCAGCCCTCGAGGCCTCACGTGAAGATTGTGAGTGGGAGGGGGGAGAGGGAGAGGGAGAGGGAGAAGGGCAGGTGGGGGGGGGAGGGAGGAGGGAGGGAGAGGGAGATGGGGGGATGGAGGAAGGGAGGGAGGAGGCGTAGGGGAGGTAGGAGAGTGGGTGGGTGGAGAGAGGGGAGGATAAGGGGAGAGAGGAGGAGAGGGAGGTGGAGGGAGGGAGCGAGGGATGGAGGGAGCGAGGGAGTGAGGGGAGTAGAGGAATAATTTTTTAGCGTTGTAAATTCTTGTCAATGGCTAGAGGGGATTTTTTAAATAGAGAGAGAGAAGAGGCTAAAGAAATTGTAGAATTTTAAAATCAATTTTTAACGCCTTGCCATTGGGCATATGCTTGAATAAAGTCGTTAATAAATTCTCGAGTTTTCAATTGCCCTTTAATAAATTAAATACCATTTTATTTAAAAAATGAATTTTTATTTTATTTTATTTGCAAAAAAAATTTTTTATATATGTTTTACAAAGTCAACTACTTGCTTTAGAGTGTTTAAATCCTAGCTTTCCGCCTTCCCTCTCTGCTTTACCGTTTTTTAATTAGGCATGTTTGCAGCCTTCCTTGACAACCTTCTTGTTGTTCTGATTTATTAGAGATCGAGATTTTTGAAAAGCTGGGTCTGTTCCTGGATTCTGGGTTTGATTTATTGACCTGGGCCGGATCCTGCCTGTAGTCCAGGAAAAACCCAGGCCCAGGAAAAAGGTAAAAAAATGCCTGGGCACTATGGAAGTATCAAGAAAATCAAGAAAGTGCCAGAAAATATAGGAGATCCTGCCGTTCCCTCAATTCCTTAAGATGGGGAATTTTTGACGTTCATTGGGTAAGGAATCCCTTAGAAATTTTTTGGGTATTCATAAAATCCGATAATTTATTTTTCCTGATAAACAGACGATAACTAAAGTGAGGTATAATAATCGAATGGGGTATAATACTATCATGGAGTACCTATAAATCCTGGGGAAAAACTGACTTCAATCACCAAAACCCCACATTTCAAGCTCCCATAAGTTAACTGCTATCTCTTTTGATAAATAATTTTTTTCCAAAAAACATTTTGCTTGATATTATTTCCTGATAAAAAAACGATAACTAAAGTCATTTATCTACATACCTGTAATTTTTTAATTAATTTTAGATGTTCTCCTTTTTGAATTTATTCGAAAAAGGAGTAATTCTCTTGATAATCCTCCTTTTCATTATAAAACAAACAAATGCAACAACCCCAGATAATCGGGAAACAACAACAATTTTGTCTTCAAAATCGGAAAACAAAATTGTATTACCCTGGGACCAGGATTATACCAAAATGACAGAACATAAACGGGAAAAACGCGAATTTCTCGCTTTATCAGGAATATTAATTCTAGTTATTTGGAGTTTCACACTTGGGCCGTTTACCCAAATGCAAATTACTAGCAGAGTTAATATGATTGGATCATTTCAAGAAAAAGTAAAAATCTTTAGATAATAAAACAGACAAATAAAATACCGTAAATACTCTAATAGAAGCCCTGGGCTTATATTTTTTGATGGGCCCCCTCGGCTTAAACTGTGGGTATCCAAAAATAAGGTTAATTTTATATCAAGAACGGGCCGGTTAGGGAAATAGACGGGTCAGGTTTCTAGTCGTAGAAAGGCGTAAGCGCATTGTTTTTGCGCCTTTCACGATTGCCTCTTGGGCTCACCCCTGGTTGGAGGTTCAAAATTTACTTAGGACGGTCACGAATTGAAAAAGGTTTGGGTACCGGATATCCTTTTTCAGATAACCCAATTCATCCCTGATGTATAAATTTGTAATAAAAAAATAAAAATCCTCTTTAAATCTCAATCATTTTATAGACTGGTTGTTGGTAAGGGGCTAAACAAACAAAATAAGGAAATAAAAAAATAAATTTTCCAAAAGCTACATATTAGTATTGGCCCCAAAATTGTCAATAATAATCCTGCTGCAAATAATATTTCATCTCGATAACGGGATAAATTGTCTCGAGAATCTATTTAAAAATTAACTTAAAGTTTGTAATCAGTAGAAATATTAAAAATAATTTTCAGGGGTGTATTTACAGATTTATAACCAATGGCTTCAAAAATTATTGTGCCCCAACGGAAAAAGAAATAAATGATAAACATTTAATTCAACAAATTTTTATGATACTTTTCAAACATATAACTAAAACTGCTGGTGAGTTTAATTGAATGTATGATATCTCTTTATGTATGATATCGCTTCAATGTATGATATCCTATTCCTTGAGCTGTATGATATTCCTTCAGGATATAAATTTTAAAATAAACCCCCGGTTGAAATAGAGCTCCTGCTTAAATTTAAAAAATATGGACATGAGAAGGCATCGATCCTTCTACCTCCTGGCAGCTATTGCTAGGTGCTTCTGTTCACCACGTACAGATATTATACCGACCGAGATACCGAGCCGTTTCTTTCATTTCTCATTTAATAATCTTAAACCTCCTCCTCACCCACCCGCCCCCCTCCTTAAACCACCTCCCTTCCAATTAAGTCCTGCAGTTAGACCCGCTCCTCCCTCACCCCTCTTTAAACCCCCCCTCCTATTAAACGTTTTAAATGCTAACCAGCTGGATCTCATCTCACTTTGTCCTTAAATAAATTCATAAAGCCTCATAGGAAATTTCAATTCCAAAAACCACAAAAATCCGGGATTTTATGGTTTTTGGAGGGTAGCCCTACAGTCAAACTCCTTTTCGTTTCCTACTCAGATTCCTTTTTTCAATTTATTAAAAAATAATTTTTTCCAAATTTAACAGCCAACCTTCTTCGTTATTTACATTCTCACACCTTTGGATTGATAAACAGATCAGAATTCAAAATTGAAGAAAATTTAACTCTTCGAGAAGATTTCTTTCTTTTCCTATTTAGACACCAATTAGTTCCTATTGGGTATGTCCCAGAGGTTCTTTTAACAGAAAAGGACGAAAAAGCCTGGAAGATATATCAAGATTTTGTTCAAGGAACAAAAACAGATGAAAGCATGCATTGCGATGAAATTTCAAAGGAGTGGGAAAATAAAAAGAAAATTAAAAAATTAAAAGAATTTGATCCTTCTAAATTGGAAAATATTTTAAAATGTGGATGTAACAATTTATTTAGTAATTGGGGCGATTTAGGTTTGTCCTTTTTAACTAAAAATACGATCAGGTCCCGTAAAATAGTAAATTCAGGTTTGGGTTATTTAAACCCTACCCGAGACTACCGAGGGTTAACCAGACCTATCCCGAGAGACGACCCAACTTCTATGGTCTATGTATGTTAACATTTGGCCGAGGGTTAACCAAGGGTTAAATAACCCTCCCAATAAATGAAAACTTGGAGTTAAGGGTTGAATGACCCTTAACTCATTAACCTTAACTCATTGAGGGTTATCTAACCCCGGGTTAGATAACCCGGCATTTAACCCCGAATTTATTTTACGAGCAGACCCCATTTTAAAAAATACCCTTGGGGATGGAAAAATCGTATCTCAGAATGTATTAGATGTTTATTTGAATCCATTTTTGGATAGAATATCATATTTGATTCCTTAGATCCATATTAGAATCTAATATCTTAGAATCCATTCGCTCAAAATTTTTTTTCAAATTTTTCAAACCCCAGACTTTGATGTTAACATGTGGCCAGTTGGATTTCTTAACATTTTTTTGGATTCGGAGCCTATAAATGTTACGGAAAGTGATGTCAAGGATGGGTCGGGTTCCTGAAACCTTGACTTTTTTTCCTCATCAATCCGAATTTTTACCCTGACCTTTCCCTTGAGAAGACCTATCCTTGGTAGAAAATATTAATTATTTTTATTTAAATTAATAAAAAATAAATAAAATCTCAGAAACCGGACAGATAAAAAAGAAAATATCGGCCAAAGATTGTTTAGAACTTTTGCAAATTTTGAAACCAAATGAAGAAATTTCATATTCATTACAAGGTAATCTACTAATTGGGAATTTAATGGGGCAGAAATTTCGATTTTTGCCTTTTAATTTGGCAAAACAAAAAAATTATTTGAGTCATAACATAATTTGTACTCATACGGGGTTCCGTGTACGAGCAAGAAAAAATCAGAAATGTTAAGGCCAAAAATAGGCCATACTTAGAGATGGTACGGAAATGAACAAATCAGGAGGGTCGGTCGGAAATGACGATGGTGTCGTAAATCTGAATCCCGACCGATTCCTGTATATGATAAGAACAAATATGAAATACCCCCCATGTGTAAAAACCATGGTAAATGAAGGTTGGCGTTCATAAAGTATGTTAGAATATTAGCGTATTTCAATGAGAGTTTATTAAATAAATAAAATTACGTCAAATTCCTTCAGTTAAAAAATTTAAAAAAATTTTAAGCTTCTGATGAGGATGAAAAACAAGAAAAAGAAACTCCCGATAATGAAGAATATTATAATATTCCATTAAAAAAGAGTGACAGTGTCGCTTTCCGATCAAAGAAAAATAATCTTATTGAAGATGAACAGACTAAGAGGAAAAAACTTGGAAGAGAAATTTTGGGAAAGATTTTGTAAGTAAATTTAAAAAACTTCTTTGAAAGAGATATAGAATGGAGTTACTATTTAAAAGAGGATAATATTAAACCTCCTCAAGATACACCTAATACAGTGCGCGTCATAACTATACGTCCACTCAAGATTTAGGGTTTATCAGGTTAAATCACGATAAAATTAATTAAAATATGTTAAATGGGGATAAGACGATCCTATTCCTACTGGCTTAAGTAAGCATTCAAGTATCTATCAATAAATCTAGTGATTTTTAGACATTCATGCCAAAACTTACGCGTCATAACTATACGTCCACTTCTGTTTTCGACATTAGGGGTGGTCTGAAAAATTTGCAAAAATTCCTGTAAACATATCTATTGATATGAATAAAAAATACAAAAGAAACGAAGTTCTAATATATCTCCATCATCGAGATCTGAAAACCAAAAAATCAACAGAAAACCGGGGTAAATGTCTTTAAAGAATATTTTCGACCCCTTATAGGTTATACTAAATTTTGATTTTATACTTTTCTGCAAGCCCTTTAAATTTGCTACAAGAAACCCATTTCGTTAATAAATCTAAAAATTTTACGTGGGAGATATTTAGAGTTAAATTCAGTGAACATAAAAATCGTTGAATTTACCCCATGAAATGCACTTTCTTAGCAAATTAAAAATTTAATGTAGTACAACTTAATGAAAAAAATTTTCTGTAAAATAAAAATTGCAGGTATTATAGCAAATTTAAAGGGCTTTCAGAAAAGTATAAAATCAAAATTTAGTATAACCTATAAGGGGTCGAAAATATTTTTTAAAGACATTTACCCCGGTTTTCTGTTGATTTTTTGGTTTTCAGATCTCGATGATGGAGATATATTAGAACTTCGTTTCTTTTATATTTTTTATTCATATCAATAGATATGTTTACAGGAATTTTTGCAAATTTTTCAGACCACCCCTAATGTCGAAAACAGAAGTGGACGTATAGTTATGACGCGTAAGTTTTGGCATGAATTTTAAAAATCACTGCTTTTTGGATAAATATTTAGTTAAATTAGTTAGAATAAGATTGATTTGCCCTCAATTAATATATTTTACTTAATTTTAACACGATTCGACATAGAGATAAACATAAAATCCAAAATTTTGAGTGGACGTATAGTTATGACGCGCACTGTATCTCGATTTTAGATACCCTAATTTTTAAAAAAGAAATTTTGGGGAAGATTTTTCAATTTATAATTTATAATCCGGCTAGACCTCCTTTCAAGTGCTAAAAGTTAGGTACTTGGAAGGAGAAGGAAAAATGAGCGAGCGCCGAAAAAGGAGAAGAGTTATGCAAGAAAAGTAAGGAAGCGACTTCCTCTTGCGGACAGGTGGTTAGCGAACAGGACACTTACCTAAGCAATCGGTTGTTAAAATCCAAATGTAGACTTCTTTTTAATTGGATCTACTAATCCGGCTAGTCCACTCCAAATCCAACTGGGATAGTGCCAATCTTGTTGGCATTGAGAAATCTCGAATAAACCCAAAACATAACAGACGGAATTCAAAGCGATGCTCCATTTAACGTAAACCTCATTACAGGACAACTTTTTTCAGCCCCAATGGTGTATCTCTAGGCAAAATCCGCCCTTTTATTTTTCAGTTGCGTTTTGAGTTTTTTGTGTTTTGAGTTGATTTTTGGCCTTGCGTTTTGTGTTTTTGGAGATTGTCCGCCCGCCCCTGGTCTTAATATCCCTCCATTATGTTAATATAAAAAATATTTTGTATTTAGGGACGATATAAAGAAGGAAAATCTTGATCAAGTTATAGAAGCATTAAAGGGATCGCTCACAAAAAAGACGGAAAAAGTCGAATTTAAACAAAAGTTTATAAATGTATTTGCTTCTAAAAAAGAAGAACAACCAACATTTCACCACGAATTTATAAATAAAAATAAAGAGATTCAGTGTGTTCCAGAAATTAGTGAAACATTTACGAATGAGGATTGTTTAATAATTATTACAAAGAATGCTTCTAAAGTTATAAACATGGCTAGTATTGAACTTGATGAAGGAAAAATGCTCATTTTCAGCGATTATGCACCAAAATTATATAAATTTTTAGAAGTAAAATTTTTTAAATTAAAAACTCTCTCGGACCCAATACACCCAACACTAAATAGACCCAATACTAAATAGATACACTTCGATCTAAAAAACAGTTTTTTTAATTTTGGTAGGGTGACTAGGATTGTAACATCCCGACGGGAACCGTCGAGAGATCTCAGGGAAAATTTTGGGTGAGGCAGCACTACGGGAAGGAGGAGATGTGAAAACTTTTACTAAAAAATTTCAGAAAATAAAAAAATTTTTTACCTGAGATAAATCTCATTATAGAGTATGACTACTCCACCCCTATAATAAGGTCCGATTGTACATATATGTCCCCAACTTTGGTTTATTTAGAAGTCCCACTTAGGCAGAGGTGGGTCGGAACAATCAGAGGTGTCGGAAATCGGAAGAGCCGAAAATCGGAATGCCTCAAAAGTCGGAACTCGGAAATCAAATTTTTTTCTGAAATCGGAAGGAAAAAATGTCGGAAATCGGAATTCCGACCCACCTCCGCTTTTAGGCTAGCATGTCAGGACAGTTTACAAAGAAACAGTTCACCGCATCGGGTAATTCACAATAAGTCTAGTTACCATATGGGAAAAATTGACACTTCCCCATATGTGCATCTTGACATTTACGGATCCACGGACATTTACGGATCCCATTTTTCAAACAAAACTCTCCTAATTTATTTTATCTTTAGGAAATTTATAAGGATACTAGAAAACGATATGGAGACTCAAAATTCTCCAAAAATGTGTTCGAACTTTCCTACAACCACGACCATGAATTAATAACAAAACACATTCATCAAACATATTTTGTTGTTGAAATTCGTAAAATATTTTGTGGAATATTTGATTTTGCAAAAAATTGCAAAAAATCAAGCAAAAAAGAAAGGTGTTTCTTTTAATTTTTTAAAAATAATATGAGTATTAACTAGAGTAAGTCGAGTACCGAGTAATTGGGAAAAAACCGAGCTCGAGTAATCCGAGTTTGAAAAACCCGAGTTCGAGCTCGAGCTCAACTTTTTAGGCCGAGTTCGAGTTCGAGTAGTCGAGTAATCGAGTATTTTTTATAAAACAGTATTTTTAAATAATTTCGATAAAAACAATACTTTTACTAAAGACTATTCATCCCCAGTGCCGTGTTTTGAGCATTTGTTGGCAGTATTGCGTTAGATCTTCATCCAAATCTGAGTTATTTTCGTTAATCCGTCTATATCCCTCTTAATCCGCAAAAATTCCATGATATGCAGACGATCAATGTTGAATCAGGCTCCGGGTTGAACATCAATGGATAATATTATTTCGGGAATTCGTGTAGATTAAGAGGATATCGAATGATAACAGAGGAATGAGATGGATATCAAGGGATTAAGCGGGATTTAGGCCGATTATAGTGAGATTTGGGTGTATTAAAAGCAAAATCTTGGAAATTCGGGAGATTAATTGGGATATCGTCGGATTAGATATATTGTCGAAAGGTGATCATGAGATAAGTTGCTCTATCCCTCTCTTTTCGCGCCGTTGGCTTAAATTTTGGGAATTTCTGAAGGTCAAGTAGGAACACCAATTCTCAGAAGGCCAGATCCCTCGCTATTCTTTTAGATCCCTTGAAATATCCGGATATCACTAAAATCCACTTAGCTTGATTGAATCCTCCGATATACACAAATCTTCTTTTTTCAGCGCCGCAGCCAAATTTTCGATAATTTTGGAAGGCCAAAGAGCAAAATTTCTTCTTTTAGCGCCGTAGGCGAAAATTTTGAGAAATTTGGAAGACCAACACACTAGATTTCTTCCTTTTTCAGCGCCGCAGGCGAAAATTTTGAGAATTTTGGAAGATCCTTAAGCTAAAAATCTTCCTTTTTGCGCCGCAGATGGCGGCATAAAAATACTCGGTTTTAACCGAGTACGTCGAGTAGGAAGTTTCCGAGCTCGAGTAATCCGAGTATTATGATCCCGAGTTCCGAGTCGAGTAATTACGCAAAAAACCCGAGCGGTCGAGTCGAGTAACTCGAACTCGCTCGAGCTCGACTTACTCTAGTATTAACTCCCTAGTAGTGATGGTCGGGAGAAAGACCTGGGTATCGACCATCCCTACTCCCTTCTGAGAATTTTATTCTTCAATATATGTTTTTGATAGGGATTGGGCCTAGACGAGATCTCGAACAAAAAATTTCGGTTAAAAATCTCGGTTAAAAAGTAGTGACTTAACTAAGGGTCTGGAATTGCGGATGAAAATTCTAAAAATTAAGCAAAAAATTTTTCCTAAAGAGAACAGCTCTAACTTAGATTTTGGATTATCCGACACAAAATCTGCAAGAAAAATCTGCAAAATTCAAAAAAAATTTTTAAAAATACAGTGGGATCTCGATATAACGACATCCCTTGGGACCTAATCGAGTCGACATTAATGAAAGTACCCTGGATCGGTCGTCGCTTGGGAACGGGCCGTCATTATATAGAGATAATATTATACCACATTTTAACAGTGAAAAAAATGGAAGAACTGAAAGTACAACCCCGTTAATTGACGAAGATTACGATAGTGATGGGAGCAAAAAAGAAGAGGATTGTAACCTTGATTTGGATAAAGTTGCAATTTTCAAACGTGTCTGTAAAGTATTCCAAAAAGAAAATTCAAACGATCGAGTAGAGTTGCTTCGACTTAAAGGCTTTAATGAATTGGACGGTCAGAGAAATAATTTGGATTTGAAAAAATTAAAAAAAGACTTGGATAACGCTAAACCAGGAAAACCAGGAAACACGAAAAAGGAAGGCTTTAGTCTTGTGAGGGGTGTCAAAAAAGTTTTAGGTATTGGAAAAAATAATAAAGGTAAAAATAAAGATAAAAATAAAGATAAACAAAAGATCAAAGCAAATTCAATAGATATTGAACCACCAAGGCGAAGTTTTGAGTTCCAAAGATCGGAATCAAATATAGCAGATCCACCAAGAAAAAGTCTTGATGTTACTGGCAGCATTCCATGGATTACATTTGAGGAAAATTCGTATCATTCAGATAATGAATCGAGACAAAGTCTTGATACTCCTCTTTTGGATCACGAACAAAATTTTTATAAAAGTAGGGAGTTGATTTTAAAAATTGATACTCATTCTTATGACACTCATTATCCGACACTCATTCTTATTATTTGACACTCATACAACACTCATACACATCCGACACTCATACATATATGGCTATTTAACTCCTAAGGCTGTTCAGTAGGGTTGTTCCCCGTCTCCGCCCCCCGTGGCACTGTTATATAGGTCCTTTCTGGACCTAATATACGAAAGGAGTGGAATTTAATTAATTTAGGTAGTTAAAGTAAAAAATTAAAAACCTATAAACTAATTGAAAAAATAAGTACATTGTAAATTAATAAATTTCAAAATTAACAGATCAAAATCACCATCAATCCGACAAGCTACTAACGCAAAATTCTGGATTAAACAAATCTGATTTCTTTAGTTTTGATCCGTCAAGAGTAAAAAATAATTCATCTGATAACCTTTTATTTGGAAATCGTAAGGATTTCTTATTTTAATTTTAAAAAGCTATAGTAAAGTAATGATCATATCTCCTCAGAAACAAAGATTTCGAAGGATTGATAACAATTAATTATTATGGACCAATTGTGGGTTTAGTACCAGCAAAATACATACATTAGCATTTAGTTAACCCGGGAGGAGCGTTTAGTGCTAGTTTATTTTCCTTTGCCAGTCGCCCCCCTTGTTCAATTAGACTCCCTATGCCAACTGTTAGTTCCAGAAACATCGGACCATTAGCATCGAACCATTACTTAGAAACGTCGAACCATTATTTAACCAATTTCAAAATTATCAGATCAAAATCTCCATCAATCCGACGAGACACAAACACAAAATTCTGAATTAACCAAATCGGATTCGTTTAGATTTGTTACGACAAGAGGATATGGAAATCGTAAATTTTTTTAACTTTTAAAATTTATAAAAAAGAAGGATACAGTGTTAAGATTATACATATCTCCTCAGAGAAACAAAAATTTGGAAGGGCATCTACCTAATTGTAATGTCCGAACCCTATGTCCCATTGCCTGGGCATCTCCCTCGGGTATGGCTAGGCGCAAAGCCATAACTTGCTTCAAGATTTCCGATCTTTCAAAATTTAGTATTAAACGATTCCTCTCATCGAGCTAAAGAGATATGTATCAAAATTGATGAGGGCCAGAAATTTAAAAGCTATGTAATTATGGGCCTACTTGCCCGCCTCTCCCTCCACCCAGCAGCGTACCATCTTTTTAAAAAAGCCTATCTTAAATTGAGGTTTCAAGGGTACAAAAGGTCCAAATGTTCTCCTAACACCAAAAAATACTTCCCTTAAACTAAGACAAAAAAATTATTAAAATAATTTTATCATTTTAATTAAATTTTTAGCTGCCCATATAAGAAAAAAGCGTCTTTTCCCTTTAATTGTGCCGGCCATTGCTTTTGGAGGAGCTATATTTTTCCAACAATTTTTCAAAAAAATAATTGGTACTAAACGTGATCCGATACAGTGGATAATAGATTGTGTAATGAATATAAAGACTGGCGGTTGTAAAGTTCCGGAAGCGATACAGAATGAACGCTCATTTCTTGTAACAGCAAAGAAATTAGTTATTGAAGAGATGACTATGGAAGCAAGTTGGTCTTTAAAGTCTAATACTGATTACCCCGGGGTATTTTTAATTTCTACCCCCTCCCTTCCTCTTCTATCCTTCCCTCAAAGGACTAAAATTGATCAGAAATTGGGAAGGAAAAACTTGATGTCGATAAGAGCTGGTACTTTCCTATGCCGATAAATACATCTGCTTTTAAGAACCTATGGTCCGGTATTTGTGTACCGTAACTCCGGATGAGGCTCTTTGCTCATAAAAGATTTTATGGGGCAGATAGAGGTGGAGGGGTAATTGATTGAGTCTTGGGTTTGTCCGAGATTTGACAATGTTGGCAAGCTTAAGAATAATTGAGGCCGTAACAGACTAAAGAGAAAGATCGGATTTTTTGAGGGAATAACCCCCATCTTATTTCATCTTTCATTTAGTGTTGCGTTCTAGTTAATACCTTTGGATTCTGTAACATTGTTTGGGATCGCCCCTATGGAAACATGGCTGGGGCTATAAAGACCAGGCTGAGACACTAACTAAAAATCGGGCTGAGGCGAGATCCCGAACAAAAAGTTCTGTTATCGCAAATCGAGGTATCTCGAGTTTCGTCCAATTTCTGCTAGTCCTGCAATCCCTGCTAACCAACTAACCAACAATCCCTGCTAACCATTTGTATAAATGGAAAAGTTTCCAATTATTTAATTTTATTTTGCAGTTGTGGAAATTCGAAAAATTTTTGAAATATATTATTTAATATATTTAAAAGATAAAATTAAACCAAAAAAACTAAAAGCTCCTAGTGTATATTTGAAAAATTTAAATTTTGCTTTGCCAATTAAATATGGTTATATTCTTGATTGTTATTATTATGATTGGGATAAAGAATATAAAAAAATGACAGAAGAAATGAAAGTAAAAGACAGTAAAATTAAAATACCACAATGGTTAAAGGATTTAAAAGCCAATCCAGATTTGTTAACACCACTTATTAAAGTTTCAACTAAACGTTGCAAACCTTTTGAAAATTTTATTGAAGAAGATAAGGTATACATATTTAAATATATGACCGGAACTCATAAAATATAACCACCCCTTTCCGTCAATTCACCTAGATTTACCCTCCCCCGACAATTTACCTGAATTTAAGGTCCAATTTTTAAATGGTTGGCCGAAGGGTAGAGGGAGAGACCATAGCTATGTAAAGTCTATAGCTATTTAATTCCCAAGGCTATGCAGTAGGCGGAGTGGTGTAATGGATAACACATCAGTCCGGTCTACTGAAGATGCTGGTTCGCTCTCAGCCGCCGATTAACCTTTTGCACTGGCTAAAGGAGAGAAATAGCTATAGCCCAGTTGCTTTACTGTTATAAGGAAGCATTTTTAGTTTCAAGGAGGTACCTCATAATTAGGGACAGCCAAAATATGCACGGAAAATCGCCAAATATGCGCATATATATGCAGCGAAAAAGTTCAAAATATGCACCAAAATATGCAAAATTTGCCAAAATATGCACTGAAATATGCACCAAAAACTAGTTAAAATATGCTTTAAAGATCAATATTTTAAGCCAAAAACTCGAAATTAGCCTTCAAACCCGCAATTTAAGAAAATTCTTAAAAGATTTTATGGAATTAAGATTATTGCATAGAAATTTAACAAAAGAAAATTTTTCCGAAAAATTTTTCGAAAAAATTTTTTTATAAAATTTTTATAATAAATTTTTTGACCAAAAAAATTCCGAAAAATTGAAAATTTTCGCCGATTTTTACTAAAATTTACCAAAAAATGCCGAAATATGGACCAAAATATGCAAAAGTTGCCAAAATATGCACAAATATGCAAATATGCACGGGAGGGCCGAAATATGCAAATATATGCATTAAGAACCGGGTCCTAAAGTGCTCGTACCAATGTAAAAACACCATTTTTGGGCTTCCCACGTTAAGGCATATCAGCATACAAAACATGCATTTGCATGTTTTGGCTGTCCCTACTCATAATGAGGTCGACCCTCTATAATGAAACACTCCTTCATACGTCACCTTTGATATATCAACTAAATTCTGTCCCAATATATTAGATCCTATATATTTTCTATATATTTCTTAATTTTCTCAACAACTTTAGATACCCGAGATGTTGATACATATAGACAACCATTGTTCAATGCCTAGCAATATTTTCATTAAAAAGTTAGAAACAACTCATGTCGAATTCAATTCTGGTCAAATTGCCCGTGATGATATTTCTTCGATAAGATTGCCAGATTCTTGGACTGTGAATAAAAAGCCAAATCCATAAACACAGATTATGTACGGTGGAAGAAAAGGAAAAAAAAGGAAATATTTTCAATTTCCCCTGGGGAGATTAAACAGCTTATCTTATAATGAGATCCGAATGTGTTTTAAATTCCCATATTTTTATATTGGTAAATTTTTGAAATTTTTGGTTTTTTTGGGGTTTTACTGGGTATTTTTGCATTTCTAATTTTTTTTAAATTTTATTTAAATTTTATTTAAAACTACCTTAAATCTTCTAATAAGAGCATATTCATTAACTAAAGTTTTTTCGACCTACTACAAGAGATTTTAACAGCCAATATATTTTTTATTAGAAGATTTTCTACATTTATTTTGTCAAAATTTGGGATGGTCATTCACAGGACATTTTTATCTAAAATTTAAAATTTGTTAAACTAGTTTCTAGTTAAGATTAGTGTTCGGCACGGGCCGGTACTACATACCGCGGCACTGACAGTCTTTTCGGACTGGTACTTTTCGGTACTACTGATACCGACAAAATCAATTTCCCGAACTCTAGTTAAGATGGATTTTAGACTAAAAACATGACGAGAAACTAGGAACTAGTCGAGTTGGTGTTTTTAACATTTTTTAAATTGGAATTTTGTTTTGAATTTTTTTGTTTATTTTTTAATTTTTTATTTTTATTAAATTTTTTATTTAAATTTTGGTGGAATCCAAATTTTTATTTTCGATTTATTTTGATGTGGGGAATCATTATAATTATTAAGGATCGGATTTTTAGACTGTAAAAACCTTAACAGATAATTTAGGCTTCTTTCGACTTTTCCAAGAAAGTTAGGCTATAACCTAAAAATCCGATCCCTTAATTACGATTTATTTAAACTAAATTCACATATTTGGGTTTTTTTACTTTTTTAAATTTAAAAGATTTATTTTTGTGTAAATATTTTATTAGTAAATTGTAAAAAAATCAAACAATTTTACAAAAAAATCAAAGTTATGATTTTATAATTGAGTTATTTTCCTCCTTTTAATTACTCGACAGGTAAATTTTGGACAAAGAACTGGAATTCCAATTTCTCGTTTCAATGAAGGCAAAGAATCGCCTGGCGATATCTAAACAAATTATTTTTAAAAATGTAGATGGGCAGGAATCAGGCTTTTAATTTTCATATGGTAACTCCATTACAAGTTAGGCTAGGTTTGAAGGATCCTAGGAAAGCCCCGCATATCAACCCCCAAAATTTCCGGACATACTGACTTTTTCGGAACTGAATATCCGAATCTCCAACAGAAAGTTGGCACGATACTCTTCCAAAAACACAATTAAACTCCCTCGATTAATTAGCATCAGGGGTCGATCGGAAATGATGAAGGTGTCGGAACTCGGAACTGTCGGAAATCGGAAATGGCTCAAAAGTCGGAACTCGGAAATCAGCTCAAATTTTCGGAAACCAGAACTCGTCGTTCGACCCCTGGTTACCATTAGGAGGATCGAAAGTGGCCCAGGCTAATTAATCGAGTAAATATGTAAACGGTCCCCTTCCTAAACGCTTGTCAACTAATTTTCCCAATTTAAATTTTCATAAAATTACCGTAAATACTCTAATTGAAGCCCAGCCTCTTGTAGAAGCCCACCTCTAATATAGGCCCATCTAAAGAGACACATTGAAAAATATAAGCCCAGGGTTTCAATTAGAGTATTTACAGTATTTAAAATATTTACCATATAACGATTAAATATATTAGCAAAAAATAGAAACAATTCCATTCTAGCCAAAGACTCTCCAAGGCATTGGCGCTTCCCCAATCCAAAAGGAATTAAATGGTCAGACTTGAGTAAATTTCCATTTTCGTCCAAAAATCGTTCTGGTCGAAAACTTTTCGGATCAGAAAAAATCTTTTAAAAAAATATATTTTGGAGAATTTTAAAAACTTTTCCTCACATTTGGGTCAACTAAAACAACTGAAATTTGTGCCACAATTGGTTGTCCTTTTCGTAACAACCATTTATCAACTTTTGTGTCTTTCATCATTCTATGGGGAAAATCTTGTGCGACAACATTGCCAACTCGAAGAATTTCCTTTTAAAAAACAATATTAAGTTAGGTAATTGGAGCCTTCCTTATAAGACGCTTACGATAATAGATAAACCAATTTGAGATACTATCAGAAAATTAGGTTAGCCACTGGATCTGTTTAAGAGAGCGATACTTAAGGTTGGCGGATCCGAATATCCGGACTTAAAATAAGTCTGGAACCCAGAAATTATCGTTTCGGATATCGGATCCGGGTATCCAGGGATTTCCAGGATCCACTAACCCTAGTGATGTAAGATACGCTTCATAGTCTTCCAGTCCCAGAGAACTTGCTCACTTTATTATCATTCTATTGTTCATTATTAAATCCTCCTTATTTTTACTCACATTTACAACAGCACAAGTATAAGGCAAAATAGAACGATCTGACCAAGAAATCATTTCTTGTTCATTACCAAATTTATTATCCAATTCTTCTTGTACTTTTTCCATGACAGAAGGATTGTGTAATAAAAGAGCTATTCCCCAAGACAGAGCTGTTGTTGTTGTTTCCTTGAATAAACGGGATTAATTGCCATTAAAAGTTGACTGGCTAACCTGCCCTGAAATCCAAAGGTCAAAAAGAATAGCCTTCAAATGTTCATAACTAAATTTACGAATAAAGTCACGAAATAATGGGATGTAGGGGAAAAGAATAAATTATCCCACTAGGGTAAAGAGAAGTCCATTCCTTATAAATGCTTAGCGTAAACTTAAAACAGAAATTTGCAGCTAACAAGCTCTAAGGCTGGCTATGGCACTAACACTGAGCATTGAGGTTGGCGGATCTTGATCAGAAAAAAGGCTGGATATCCGGAAATTTTCGGTTCGGATATCGGATCTGGATATCCGAAGATTTCCAACTATCCGCCAACCTTACTGGTAGGGTTGTTCCACGTCCCCGTCCCCGAAAGTCGGGGAATTTGAGAGATTTTTTTGAAAATTCCCCACCCCTCCAGTGAAAAAATAAAAAATTTTCCACGTCCCCCGTGGTGCTTCCTCCCCGAAAAGTTATCCCCATGCCCCCCTTCCCGTCGGGGAACAACCCTACCTGCTGGGCATGGCAGTGTCTTATATTAACAGGTTCCCGTTAATATTCTCAAGTTCCACTGTCCCAAAATTACATCGATACAGTTGGGTACAAGGAAATTTAGTCATAAAACGCGTTAATAAATTCCATTTATGAGTCATTATTATAAGCTGGATTGACTTTAATTTTCCCCTAAAATTGTGTTTATGCTTTCTCAAGTCATTTAATAATCTGCAACAAGAAAAATTCTCTTTTCTCACCTAAAAACATCTTCTCTCCCATTTTCTTCACTTTGCTCACAACGTAACTTTTCTCTAAGAAAAGCTTCCATAAAATCGCTAGGTGGGGGTAAAATACTTGAATTATTTAATTTTTCTTTATTTAACATTAATTCCTCTAAATGTCTATCAATTTGTTGTTGGAAAAATCCAAAAAAACATTTGTGGGTATTTTTGACTAAATCATAGGCATCCTGACATAAAGGGAAAGATTTGAAAATGTCTGGGCGCCACATAAATAAATTTGTGGCAAAACTTTGCATTCGGTTATTGAAACGCCATAATTGGTTATTTAATTGGTGATAAAGTTGTTCATGCTAATTTAAAATTTAAAGAATGATTAGAATTTTTAAAAGCAGGTCAAACTGTTACATTTACCGGTAGGAGACCAAGGCCGGACGCAAATGCGGATTGCGTGAAATTGCATGTCTTTTTGACCTGCGGATTGCGGCTGCGAAATTTTTTTTCAATTGCGTCCATCCCTGGTCTCAATTCATGGAAATAGGGAAATCAGAAAAAAATCATAGGAAGTCGGAATTTAACTTCTGTCTATTACGAATAACCATTAAGAGGCGAGTGATCGGAAATTATAATTCGTACATTTAGAGCTAGCCTAGGGGTGAAGTAGTTGAGAAAGCCTCTTTGATTTCGTGACTAAAAATGTCATAATTTGTAGTCGAACCTCCCCCATAGGATTTACACCATAATAATTTACAAAAAATTATTCACTCAATTTTAATAGTATTTTATCAATTAGAAAACAATTAAAGATCTATTATGGCCCTTTTGTTCTACAAAATAATAAGGATCTTAAATAAAAAGTGGCCAAACAAATTTTTAAGAATATTCTTTGAATTCGGTCCCGAGGAGGATGTATGTAGAAAATTCTATAATAAACGAATTACTATAATAAAATGAAACCCCTCACCCCTCATTTAATTTTAACATTTATTAATTTAGAAAAACACCTCTTCATCAAATCTAAACCCAACAAGTAAAACATTAATTATCGAACTAATTGCACGTTCTAAATGTTTAACAATATCAATTTCTATCTCATTTAATTTTTGTTGTTCATTAATTTCTAAATCCAATAATTTAAACATTTCTGAAATTTCTGTTAAAATCTGGAAGAAAATTTTCTGAAAAAATTTTTTCTAGAAATTTAACTCTTTCTTGCATAATATTTTTTCCAACTCCAAAATCTCTAAAAACGTGCAAAACAAAGCGTCTATGTTCCCTCCAAATTTCCCCTTCAGTTTGTAAAACGCCATATATTCCTCCACGAATTATTCTTTCGTAAGCTTCTATTTAGAAAAAATTTTTAATAATCGAACCTCATTAAAATACACTCAATAGTGGAAATGTGGAGATATGTTTTCCTTAAGTTGGTTGGCCATTTGTTAGGGGAGTAGTCTATAATCGGCCGACATCTATCTAACGTACACCTTTTACAGCCCATAAGTTTATCTTATAATGAGGGTCGGCTCAATTAAAGATCGGAAGTTTGATAGTTTTTGGCCATGTTTCTATTTTAAATTTAGAAAAAATTCCTGTTTTGGTCTTGATCATGGTCTAATAAGCCATAAATCATACCAATAACACAATACATAATAGAAAGAATAAAGGAACAAGAACCTATCAGCAGTTTGTTCATTTACCGGAGTAGTTTTCTAATTTGCCAAAAATGCAAAAAATACTTAGGTATATTCGAATCAGGTTATGATTCTACTTTTATTTAAACTGCCATCTTACTGATCCCACCTAAATGTATTTCCCTAAAATTGAAGGGAGAAAACGACCATCAGGGTTTTAAGACCATCTATCTTCACCCTCACTCAATCCCCTTGGAGTGTCACAAAATCCGGACCCGACATATTACCCACCAATTGCATGTCTCCCAGCAAATGCTTCCCCTCCACGTTGATAATATTCAACAATTTTGTTATACTCAGCGATACAAATAATTGGAGTTTCTCCTAGCCAAAAGGTAAAAATTGGACCAAAACGTTGTCTCCATTCGAGAAAAATATCTTCACCAGGAGGATGTCGCATTAAAGTGAGGCTGTTGCCGAAAAAGGGGAGTGGAATTGGGCCTTAAATTAATTCTGGTTTAAAAAAGTTACTAATTCAGGGAGTATCAAAGATAAATATCGGGCGGGTCTAGAGCAAGTTTTTTTGTTTCCCTTGTTTTTTCATGGACTACTAATTTAATTCTAGCCAGATTTTTTTCAAAATTTAAATTAAAAATATGAACGCTTGTAAAAATAAGAGGGCTTTTTGCGGACTTTCCGTTATTCCCTGTTCTTGGAAACGGAACATGGGAACCTGACAGCTCGATCTGTACGCTTAGGTGGGGGTTAAACCATCTAAAAAGATAAAAGAGAAAGCACTAGTCGTTGTTCCGTAGCTCACTCTTTCTGATAGAGCTCCTGTATGTGGTGAGCGAGGAGGTGCTTAGCAATAACTGCGAAGGAAGTCGCAGGTTCGAATTTTGCCCGGTGGCTAAACTGTTGCTAAACTCTTTCTTTTACAGACTTTCTGTTATTTCCCTGTTTTTTCCCTAGCCAGAAACGGAACCTAGGGACCTGACAGCCATTAATTCGATCCTCAAAAGACGGTTTCCCGAATAGAATCTTTCAATAATTTCCCATTTTTATTAACGTTTTTGTTCAAATTTCGAAAAAAAATTTTCTAAAAATTTACCCAAAAATTACCTGGAGGTAATCCTTTACGTTTATAATGAAAATTGTAAAAAACAAAAATTAATATTATAATAAATAAAAACAAAATAGCTGCCATTTTTTATTCTAAATTAATTTTTAAAAATTAATTTTTGCATAGATCGTTGGTTAATTTAAACTAAAATGTAGAAAAGAATGAATGCAAAAACCGATAAAAATAAGTCAACTGATAAATAAATTATTTTTATCAAGAAGAATGTCTTTTTTAAGAAGGTTAAAGTAAAGAAATTATTTTAATATACATACATAGACTCACTGATGGTCTCAGGACCCTGTTTTACGTTGATTTTCGGGGTCTCAGGATCTCGGATTAGGGTAAACAGAAGATTTTTAAAATAAAAATTCTGCCAAAAATCCATACACATCTTGTTAGTTATTGGCTAAAATGTGTGTATTTAAATTTTCAGAAAATTCGGATCAATACAGATGAAAAAATTTCGGAAAAATGGGGTGGACGTATAATTTTGCGTCGAATTTATATGAAAATTTATATTCTTCCTCGACTAAGATTAAACGTTCAAAAAACATGTTTTGCTTATTTATTCATCCCTATATTATTCCATATTTCATCCGTATTTTGCCTTTGGTATATGTCCAGCCCGCGGTTCATATGGCATGCAAAAAGCATTCTGTAAAAAGCAGTTTTTGCTGCATTTAACTCTGGAAGAAATCAAAAATACAAATAGCTCATCGAAAGAATTCGACGAGTTTAGTTGAATGACACCAGAATTAGATTGCTTGGATTATTCTGAACAAAATTATGAAGTAAAGCAGCTGGGCTATAGCTATTTCTCTCCTTTAGCTAATGCAAAAGGTTATTCGGCGGCTGGGAGCGATCCGGCATCTTCAGTAGACCGGACTGATGTGTTAGCCATTACACCAAGGCGTCCCGGATTCGACTATTTTGAACGAAGTTATAGCTCTGCGGTACGTTGGCCTGCTCCCCATTCTCTTGTCATAACTTTGTCAAATCAAGACAGATTTGCACCAAAATTAATATTTGAAAATTTTTATTTAAGAAATAGAAAATATATTTTTTATTTAATTATTGTGGATCAGTGATGGGAAAGTTCCAGTTCCGGAACTGGAACCGGCAAAGGTCTGGAGCCGGTTTAGAACTGGAACCGTGGAACCGGCAAAGGTCCGGAACCGGTTTGGAACCGGTTCCGGAACCGACGAAATTTAAAAGCGGTTCCAGAGAAATTTTGGAACTTTCCCATCACTGTTGTGGATGTATTCTAAAACGATTTAAAAAAGCCTTTCGATATGGTGTGTTTGTTAAAATACAAATAATTGGGTTAAATACAGGTATTAAATGAAAAGAAATTAAAATTAATATTCGAATAATGTCTGTTGTGTTGTTGGTTGTGTTTGAAAAGCTTGTAATAAATAAACCTCCTGCTTGGCTAATAAATGGGACTATAGCCTAAAAATTTTTTTTTAATTTATGCATATATTTATATTCTAAAAATTCGAGATCGAAGTCCTGATTTAAAAAATTTATTCTCGCTCAAATTCTTGTATATTTACCCATATGAGTCTTTTTCAAGCCTTTTAAGGTTTAATTTAACAAAAAGTCTATTTATAAGTAGGTACTTACAAATAAGTACATTTTCAATTTCGTAAGTATGAATATCGGTTTCTAGATACTGTATTTCCAAAATAAGTACGAATCTAAGCGGAACAAGACGTTTGTGTACCGGCCGTTGTATACCTGGCCATATTTTGGGCCATAACTTTTTTAATTCTTAATTGATTTGAATGATTAATATATCAATCGAAAGCCCTGGATGTGAGGATTATTTTCGCCAACAGGTTTGATTTGATCAGATCAAGTTACAAAAAGTTACATCTCGATAAATGCGGGCAATCGTGATTTTGATCTTTATCTGGCAGTAACTTTTTGTATGATGATTTGATCAAATCAATCCTGTTGGCGAAAATAATCCTCACATTTAGGGCTTTCGAATGATATATTAATCATTCAAATCAATTAAGAATTAGAAAAATTATGACCCAAAATATGGCCAGGTACACAACCGGCCGGTACACAATTATCCCCTAACCCGAATCTTAGCTCTATAAATCTTCAATTTAAAAATTTCTTACCAAAATGATCAAAACTTTTGTTAAAAGTTTATTCAATTTTTTTAAATTTCCATCAAAATTAGTATTTAATTTGACATATCTAACCATTTTGAATCCACAAACAATTATTATTAAATAAGGAATTATTTCAATTAAAAGTAAAGGTAATTGTGTTAAAATATTTGTCTAATTTTTATTTTCAAATAATTTACTTTATAAATTACCTTTTCCATTTTATATTGAATAAATGGCAATGTTTTGTTAATATTCTCAAAATATTTAATACCCCCATTAGAATATGGATGGATAAACATAACCACATCCAAAGAATATAATAACGATACAAATAAAGCAATAGACGCCATAAATAAGTAACGAGGAAAATTAATTTTCATATTCCTAATAATATTTACAGTAAATATACTAATAAAGAAAGTATCTAGATCGAGCTAGACCTGGACCAAGGCCTGGGTTTTTCCTGTACGCAGAGTCCATGTCCAAACATTTTTGACCTCCCTGGGTTTTTCCTGGGCCTGAGTTTTTCCTGGACTACAAGCCCAGGAACTCGATTAATTCCCCTCCCTTGAATAATTATCCCTGCTACGGATGAGTTGAAAAAATAATTCCCCAGGGGAATAATTCTCCAGGGGAATTTTTAATACGGTATGCCTCTCATTTTAAGATGCCAAAAGAAAATTGAGTGGAGTTGAGTAGGGAGGAAAGTTTGACCATTATGTACATCCTAAAGAAAACTCTGAGACTAAACTAAGGAGAGGGGCGGGATATCCCCAATGTACAGAATGGCTCATGTACTTAAGCAGTATATTTACCTATTCAAAACTAAATATCTATGAATAAATTGAACACATAATCCATTAATATTTAAATTAGCAATGTATTGCCCAAATATTAAAATAATATAACATATAAACGGATTAAAATTTTTGTCCAGAAAATTAAACAAAATTCCATTTGGAAATACCATAAATGAACTCCCTTGTGCATCAATAATATAAAACTATAAAGAATATAAAATTGGTTTTAATTATTATTATTACATATTAGGGATACGATTTTTAGGCTATAATCTATTTTTATCTGAAATACCGTATTTTCTCTAAAATAGCCCGGGGGTTATTTTTTCGATCGTCCTCTAAAGGGGGATATTTTAGAAGGGGGTTATTTTAGAGAGAGAGAGGGGGGGGGGGTATTTTTTCGATGTCTAAATTTTTTAAAAAGCTAAAATTTATTACCAATTTTTGAATAAAATTTTCTAAAATTTGATAGAATTCATCACAAACTAAATCTCTTAATCCATCAGAATCCACTTATATCCCTCCAAATCCCCGATATCCCCCATAATCATTTCCAATCTTATTGAAATAAGGGATTCAACAGTGCTTTGCTTTGGAAAAAACAATGCCAAGAACAATTAAATATTTTTAATCATATTTGATTAACAATTTATTACACTATAATTTATTACACTAATAGCCCCCCCCCTCTTTTAGAGGGGGGGGGGGCTATTTTAGGGGGGGGGGTATTTATAGAAAATACGGTAGTTATAATCAGGGTGGTCCTTTTGCCTCATTTAAGAGGCATTTGCCCCTTTTTGACCTTCTCCCCCCTTTTTTGGCCCCTTTTTGGGAAGCTATGCCCTCTTTTGGTCATTTGCAAAGGGCCACCCTGGTTATAATATGAGAAGCTCAAATCCTTTTTTATTTTTTGAATATGTAATAATTACAGGGATCACCTACTTTGTACATATATTTTTAGGAAAAATATTATTTTTAACAAAAATTCTTAGAAATTTTTGAGAAAACTTTCTCAAGTTTTTTAATTTTTTATTACAGATTGAATAAACAATTGAACAGTCAACGTTAAAATATCCAAAACACAATTTTGTATCAGAACTCGACTGTGTGTTTTCATTTCATTTGGTGTTTTATAAATAATTAAAATAATCAGAATAATATTTAAAGGAAACCCAATTAATTGACAACCAAAATAATCAAATTTAAATAAAATATCAAGTAAATCTGACATTTTATTAGTTATTTTAACAAATAAAAAAATTAACTAAAGTTTAATTTTTTTTTAATCTAAAATAATTCTTTAAAAGTTACAAGAAAACATAATATAATTTAAATATTCTTATTAAAAAATTACACACTAATAATTTTTGAATACAATAAATATTTGTGAGAAAAATTTTTTAATTGCTAGGCTAAATGGGATAAAACCCAAAAGGTCAACTGACCCTAGTGATCAACTCCAAATTTTTGGACGGATAAAGAAGAATTTTTGCGAAAAATTTAAGAATGTTTGCCTTCGGCCCTCCATGCGGACCATAGGCGCGCCGTAGGCGAGGGCCATGGCCCAAGCTTAAACACATCCCGGAAGGCAGAGCAAAGACCCACCTTGGCCGAAGGCCGAGGACCGAAGGAGCGCCGTAGGGGAGGAGCGCCCCGAAGCAATGAAAAGGCACGGGTAATCATATATGTATATTCCAGGCATCCAAACATTCTAGCAGCGCGCGAAGCGCGCCCCAAAGCCGATAAGCTTTCCAAAACCCAGGCTTACCGCCCTCGCATACGTACCCATCGCTAGTTTTAACAAAAAAATTAACTAAAGTTTAATTTTTTTAATCTAAAATAATTCTTTAAAAGTTACAAGAAAACAAAATAATTTAAATATTCTTATTAAAAAGTTACACACTAATAATTTTTGAATACAATAAATATTTGCGAGAAAAATTTTTTTTAATTGCATGTCTAAATGGGATAAACAAAATTTTCTCACAAATATTTATTGTATTCAGAATTGCTTGGCTAAATGGGATAAACCCTTTTAGACAATAATAAACCCAAAAGGTCAACATTAAAGGCTGTAACCAAAAGGTCAACTGACCCAAGGGATCAACTCCAAATATTTGGACGTATAAAGGATTTTTGCAGATTAGGAGCCCCCTTATCAGGAGGTGCCAATTTGCGGATTTTCGCGTTTCGCATTTCACGGATTTTCGTGTTTTTGGACTTTCGCATTTCGCGTGTCGCTTTTTAAAATCCGTTTCGGCACCCTCCTACTCCTTATCCCTCGAATTTCTTGAACCTTAAAAATTATTCTGAAACAAATAATTTTCGAATTCACCTTAAATTCGATTTTAGCATTCTTCCTATCTACTAAATTTTGAGGCAATTATTTCAATCCTTTTTTACACCTTTTTGATATCGCTATTTTTTCGAATTTTATTTTTCGCTCATTTACGATACTGTAGCATAACATCCATTTTATCGTGATGAAGTGGTCTTTAATTTTTATGTACATACTGTTTCAGCGCGTGATTTTTCTCGCAATGAAATATTTTTCTAAACCTCTGAAATTGTTTTTTATTCAATATTTTCCTTCTTTTTCAGCTTTCTTTAATAAAAAATTTTTCTCAAATTTTCAGGGTTATGGCCATTTCCGGCTTAATGGCCAACTTTTCAATATTCAATGAAGGGGAAACTTTGAAAATTAAAATTTATTTTGAACGTCAAGTATTTATTGTTTATTTATCAGAAATTATTACAATTGATCTATTTTATGCAAAATTGAGAGAAATTTTGAGATTGGACACAAATCAAGTAATTACTGTTAAATGGATAGATAACGAAGGTTTTTTTGAGTTAAATTAATTTTTAAAAGAATTTTTGTTGACAGATGATCCCTGCACTATTTCTTCACAAATTGAACTTTTTGAAGCAATAAAGCTTACGTTGGAATTTAGAGATGCTGAATTAAAGGTTTGTTGCTTTGAAGTTTTTTTTTATTTTATTTCCCTCGTTTGGTTTCTCTTTTGTTTCCTTCCCTATTTTCCTTTGTTTTACCCATAATTTTGGTTAACTTTTTACGAGGTTAATTGTTTGCCTTTACAGTTAGATAAATTTCAGTTCGAATGTCCGATCCATTCTCAAAAATAGATGTAAAACCGGGGAAATGGGGAAGAAAGACCAAAAATCCATTATTATTTTATTAAATTTTTTCCAATAAAATTTTGTTGTGAACAAAAGAGACAAGAATCAAAATTCTTTCGTGTTTTGAGAATAAGCTGAAAATATTTTTGAGACTTTTATTAAGACCAAGGGCGTAGCAAGGGTGGGCTATTGGAACTAAAGCCTCCCCCCTCCCCCCAAAATAAGGAAAATGAAAAAATTTGGGGAAGGGGATTGAGCAAAAGAACCTGAAATCGACCCCCTGGCTGTGCCCTTATTAAAGACTACCTTCTAATCAAAATATTTTTTAAGGTCCACGTATTCCTCGGTCAACCAACAACCCCAGGCGCTCCCTGTCCTGGCGAAGATAAAACGGTCTATCGACGCGGCGCTCGTCGTTGGGTTCACAAAAAGAAATATTTCATTAGCGGGCATTGTTTCCAGCCTAAACGCTTAAATAAAAGGACAATTTGTGCTTTGTGTGAGGACACAATTTGGGGACTGGGACACGCAGGTTTTCGATGTATGGACTGTGGAATGTGTGTACACAAAAAATGTCATAAATATGTTGCTGAAAAGTGTTGTTCAAGAACTTTTGTGGTGGGGGAGGAGAATAGTGGAGGAGGTGGAATTTCTCAACATAAAGTGCCGTCTTTGAAGAGTGCGACTTCTATTAGAGGAGATGAAAATTTGGTGCCTTCTTCAGAGGTTTTTTTTGGAAATTTTGTTAATATCCCGCAAGGGCGTAGCCAAGGGGGGGGCTTCTGGGGCTAAAGCCCCCCCCCCCCCCCGAAATGGGAGAAAGGGGAGAAAAATTAGGAGAAGAACTAGCAAAAAAGTGAATTTTTTTGGCCTACGGCCTTCTTAATTTTAAAAATTTTCGCCTGCGGCGCTAAAAATGGAAGAAATCTGCCTCTGAGCTCCAAAATTCAAAAAATTTTCGCCTGCGGCGCTGAAAATCAAAATTTTTGGCGCCTGCGGCGCCGAAAAAGTGAATTTTTGGCCTACGGCCTTCTAAAATTAAAAAAATTTTCGCCTGCGGCGCTGAAAAAAATAAAGATATGGTTCAAAAAAAATTTGCGTCCAGAACGCCAAGGTAAACGCCAAAAATTTTTCGCACACCCAGTGTTAGCCCCCCCCCGAAATCGACCCTCTGGCTACGCCCTTGATATCCCGCCTCTAGCGATATTTGAGTCTCAGATTAATTTCTAAGGTCGGTGCAGATTTTTCTAAGGTCGGTGCAGATTTTTCAGAATCCTGTCCGAAATCCTGCCTTTTTTCTTGTTTTCAGGATTAATCCTGAGGGATCCTTTCCTGTTTGAAATTTTAAAACCAATCCTGATACAGGATCTTTCAAATGTGATTTTACCGACTTCTATTAATTTCCCTTTTATGTTTTTCTGCTTGGAATGGCCAAATTTAGTTCCTTTTAAATGTGGATTTTGCTGGACCTTCCGTCTTTTTCTTCCTAATTTTTGCCCAATTAACATATATTTTAATCAGGGGTTGACAATAAAAGGAAAATTAGACTGGGACTCAAATAGAGGTGAGGTAGAACATGAACAAATTATTGTTTTTTTTGTACTTTTTTATCAGAGATTAAAAAACTTTTCCTTCATCTTTTTTAGCATCAAAAAATTGAAAGAACAATTTCCAATACGAACGGAATACCAGATCCCAATTTATTGGAAGTTGGTGGAACAGTTGGAAATGGTGGATATTTACCTGTTCAGTGGAGCATGGGGTTGGATGACTTTGAATTACTTACAGTGATAGGACGTGGTTCGTATGCAAAAGTTGTGCAAGCTGAACATAGGTTTTTTTTATTTTTTAAACGATTAACTTTTGAAATTTTGTACCAATCTTTAGGCGAACAGGCCAAATTTATGCGATAAAAATAATCAAGAAGACTGTCTGTATTGATGAGGAGGTTTGGAATTTTTTTCCAGGCTTCGGCACTCTTTCTATTTTTATCTGTAATAGGTCTCTTCAGAGCTTCTGTGATGATGGCCACTTTCTTGCATAAAAAAGGCACTGAAAATTAGTAAAAATTTCTCTCGTTGCAGCTTACCGCTGGTCAGTATTTCTGCGTCTTTTTTATGTGAGAGAGTGGCCATCATCACAGAAGCTCTGAAGAGACTTATGTATAGCGGATAAAAGAGGAGTGCACAAGCCTGATTTTATCAAATTTTTCTCTAATCTTCCAAACAAAAAAATTTTTAAGGACACTGACTGGATCCAAACAGAAAAATCTGTTTTGGAAACGGCTTCCAACCATCCCTTTCTTGTTGGATTGCATTCTTGTTTTCAGGTTTTTCAGAATTTTTTTAATTTTTTTTGCTTATTTCCAGACTGCTTCTCGCCTCTTTTATGTCATCGAATTTATCCCTGGCGGTGATTTAATGTTCCATATGCAAAGACAACACAAACTACCTGAAGAACATGCACGTTTTTATTCTGCTGAAGTTATTTTAGCTCTACATTTTTTGCATACTAGAGGTATTTTATTATTTTCAATCGCGTTATTCTTGCATTTGAGTTCAATGAGGGATACTTATCGTATGGATTCCGAATTTCGTACCTTGTTTTTCGAGTAGTTTATTGTTTGTGAGCCCCCTAATACTTTACAAGGGCGTAGCCAGCGGTTCAATTTCAGGTAGTGTGCGGAAATTTTCTGCCTAACGGGATTATATGTCTCTCTTCAGGACGGCTGTGTAGTTGACCACTCTCGTTTTGAAAAGACGCAGAAATTTGCGTACATTTTGAGATTAGAGCAGACAACGAGACTCTTCTCTGACCGCATCCGATCACTGGTCAGTTTTTCTGAGTCTTTTCAAAACGAGAGAGTGATCAACTACACAACCGTCCTGAAGAGGGCAAATAATCATGTAATAACATATAATCCCGTTAGACGAAATACTGCCGCACACTAATTTCAGGAGGCCTCTTCCTGGCTACGCCCTTGATACTTTCCACTAGATTTTAGATCCTTTTTATTTTTCGACCTCAAAACTGTTTACCCATTGCGTGTTTTTAAGATCTCCATAAGCCTCTCTTATTATAAAATACATCATTATTTTTCAGGCATAATTTATCGAGATCTAAAATTGGATAATGTACTATTAGACGCTGAAGGACATGTCAAATTGACTGATTTTGGGTTTGTTTTTGTATTTTTATAAAATTTATTTTTTCAGAATGTGTAAAGAAAATATTGGGCCAAATGATTTGACTTCAACATTTTGTGGAACTCCAAATTATATTGCGCCGGAAATTCTTCGAGGGGAAGACTATGGTTGGTTAAAAAATTATTTTTTAAATTATGAAAATATTTAAAGGATATAGCGTTGATTTTTGGGCTCTGGGTGTTTTAATGTTCGAAATGATGGTTGGGCGTTCGCCTTTTCAAGCACCTATAGAAGAATATCAGGAATATTCTGAGGTTTTTAGTTTATAAAATTAAAGCTTTTTTGATGGTTGTTTTATTCCATTAAAATTTCTAGAGCAAATAATTAATATTATTATACTCTTTGGGCCAGAGTCGTTGGGTTCCGCAGGAGGTGGCCCAGAGTATTTCGCCAATAAAAAGGAGAGAGAATCGATCGTTATTTAACGATCAAATAAACAAATTAGCAGAAACGCCGGGAGAAGGTCCTGGTCGACTTGAATAGATGATAACTGGACTGAATTCCTTAGGTCTTATTCCCTTTAGGTCGTCTTCCTTCTTATTGTTAAATTCATAAAATTAAGGAGGGGCAAATTTATTCTTAACTATTCCTAAAAAAATATTTTTTCAGGATTTTCTGTTTCAAGTTATTTTGGAAAGACAAATCCGTATTCCTCGAAATTTGAGTGTCCGTGCTGCAAATGTATTAAAGGTTTAAAAAATTGTTTTTTTATTATTTATTTTATGAAAGTAATTTTTAAGGGTTTCTTGAACAAGGATCAAAACGAAAGATTGGGATGTAAGCCTGATTTGGAGGAAGGACTTAATGACATAAAAACGAATGCTTTCTTCAGATACAGCATTGATTGGGAATTGGTTTATTTTTATTTTTTATAAAGTCGGGACCTCCCTATACCTTTGCGGTTACAATTAAATGAGGGTATCTTACAAAAGTCTCACCCTTTTTTGACCTTGCCTTTTTTTATCACCACTTTTTTGTCTCTTTTTGACATTTTAAAAATTTTTCCCTGCGGCGCTGAAAGCAATCAGGTCTTTTCGTTATTCTCCCAAAGTTCTTAAGTCATATGTATCCTCAATTCAATTTTTATTTTCTTATAAGGAGGTTTGACTGCTTGTTAAAATTATAACTCCTTATAAAAAATTTTTTTATCTATTTAGCTTGTTGAACGCCGAATCACCCCTCCATATAATCCAAATATTAATGGTGACAGGGATTTGCAACGATTTGACACTAGTTTTACAAATGAGGATCCGGCGCTTACTCCTGGTATTTTTTGGCAAAATAAAATTTTATGTAAATTTGATAAATTTTAGATGAACCAGAAGTCATTGCTCGTATTGACCAATGTAAGAGGATTTTTTTGAATAATTTGAAAAATTATTTTTTAATTTTTTAGCCGAATTTGATGGATTTGAGTATGTAAACCCGTTAATTTTTAACAAGGAAGATTCTGTTTAAAAAGAGAAAAATGGAGAAGAGAGTCTCGCAGAGTTTTTTCTGTTATAAGAAGGCAAATAATAAATTAAGGGTCAGCCCAAGTAGGCGCAAAGCCATAACTTATTTCAGGATTCCCGAATTTTATTAAATTTTGTAATAAATGATTCTTCTATTTGAGGTAAAGTGATTGGTACCAAAATTGATAAGGGCCAGGAATTTTCCAGCTAGTTATGGCTTTGCGCCTACTGGCCCGTGTGCCTACTTGGGGTGCCCCATAAATTAATAATACCTAAATTATTTTTGGAGAGCAGCAAAAGAATATACTTAAATGTGCAGCTTTGATTATTTAATTTTAAAAGAATCAACAAAATGTCTAATTTATTTTTGGATTTTTTTGGAATTTTGTTGATTGAAATTTATTTCAGTTTTTGACCCTACACTCATATCTTTTAATTTAAAAGCAGCTTGTTTTTCATTCCATTCAAATTAATAATATAGCTTATTTTCTCTTTTATTTAAAATTAGAGTTATTAATTTTAAGAATTTTTTTCTGATTTTAACAATTAAGTTTCAAATTTTGAATTCAAAAAAAAACTGACAATAATTTTATCAACTCTAATTTTAATTTAAAAATATATCTTTCCCTTTACTTTCCAAAAATCGTGTCTTAAATTTTATTCCGTTGCTGTTGGACCTCACTTTTATTTCATAATTCTGAAATAATTTGTATCTTAATAATGAATTTTGCATTAATTGGAGCGTATACACATTAGTGATGCTCGGGAGAAGAAAAACCCCGGGAAACGTGAGTCGGTTCGGGAAATGATTTCGGGAGTCGGGATATCCGAGCATCACCAATACACAGCTTTCTTTTACCCAATAGCCAACCTAATTTAACGAATATATTTTTTAGTGAGGTCCAACAATCGTCTTTTAATTATCTCTTAAATTCACTTTTACAACAAAAATTATGAACAAATTTAATAAAATCTAAAAATGTTGTGAATTTAAAAAAAATATTTTTTAATTAAAATATTAAGGGAATACTTCTTTATTTTATGCTTGTTGGTGTTACTCCTTTTCGTGGAGAAACTGTTTCTGATTTAAAAAGATATTTTGGAAGGGGTTTATTATATGCCTGATTATGGTAATTAAATTAAAAAGAATATTCAAAAAAATTATTATTTAAAAAAAGTTTCAACGTTTGCACAACATTCAATTACTCGAATGCTTGAATTGGATGCTAAAAGAAGGGCTAATATTTTGGAACTTAAGGTATTTAAAAATATTATGGAAGTGACTGAAAGTTGAGAGAGAATAAAATAAGCGGTGTATCTTAGAACTAGAGATCGGCCTGGGTCTGGACCAAAGCCTGGGTTTTTCCTGTACCCAGCGTCCAGGTCCAGGCATTTTTTGACCTTCCTGGGTTTTTCATGGGCTACAGACCCAGGATCCAGTCTAGTCAAGAAATCAAACTCCAGAGTCCAGGAACAGGTCCAGGCTTTTCAAAATTTCCGATCTCTACTTTAAACCAATTCTATCTAATATTTAGTGTGGCAGTTACTTGAAAAACTTTTTTCAAACTAAAAACATGAAGCAACAGTTTATTCTCTTTTAGGAAAAATTTAAAAATTCTATTTAAATATTAAAAATAAATTTAATTAAATAAATTTAAATTATGTACATATGTTGGGGTTCCCTATAATTTATATTCCAAAGAAAATTTTTTTTAATTAAGAGAACATATTGGCTAAGTGAATGTAAATTTCCCGATTCTTATGTAAATTTATCTTTAAATCCAAATGAACATTCATTGGCCCATTGTAAATTGGAAAGACTTGTTTGGTCCCAATTACAAAGTTATGGAATAACTGAAGAAATGCTTAGAAGTGTTGCTAAAAGTAAAGGAGCTAGAAATCCTGTTATTGGTTAGATTTACTATAAATTAGAAGAGAATATAGAAAAAGTTTCCAATTTTCGTGCGGTATGGGTACAAATTATCCCTTAATTTATATTCCAGAGAAAATACAAATTTTGAAAATATTTTTTTTTATTTTTTAGGAACTTATCGAATTACTCTTTATCAATGTCAAGCACTTGATAGAGATAAAGAAAGGGCTAAGGTAAAAAATAAAATTAAAAAAAAAAATTATTTAAAATAATATTTTCAAGTTAAATGAGCATTTATTACAACTTGCTGAAAAGAGTAATTTATTGTCGGGTAAAATTGATGAACGAAGCAAAGCTTGTATAATAATTTAAAAAGCCAAATTAAATTTTTTCTAAAATGTAAAGCGCCCAAATTTTCTCTTTTTCATTTTTTCTAAAAATTTTAATCTAAAAATTTCGAATGTCGATTTTAATATGTACTAAAAATATCTCGAAACGGCTCAACTAGATTAAACGCTCAATATATAAAATTCATCTCCATGATTAAGAATTTTGGTATTTTGTTCATATCCCGTCCCCACCCTTATGTGAGTCTCAGATTTATTCTTTTCTGCCTGGGAATTGTCAACATTCCTTCTTTATAAATTTTTGCTGTTACCGTATATTTTTTCCTTCCTAAAAGCTTGCATTTTACTTATAATTTGAGGGAAATGAATGATTGGCAGTAAAAAGGAAAATTAATCTGAGACTCAAATATAGGTGAGGGGCGGGATATGAACACAGTACCAAAATTTTTTAGTTTACTCATCTAGAACGAAGTTTTTAACGTTTTTGTCATTACTTTAAGCAAATTACATAGACTATCTGAGATTAAATGTCTGTCAGTTCTAAATTAACAACAAGTAATTTGTGTTTTTTTCAAAAACTTAGCTAATACTAGTACTTAAATAATATTCACTAAAACTTTCAGTAATTAATTTACTTTAAATATTCAACAAATATTTTGTATTTATTCAAAACAATAATCATTTTTATTTATTGTAAAAATATTTTTTATCAAATGTTCTTCGAATTCAAAACAAAACTTAAGTCGAACCACTAACACTCGCTCCTGTAAGAGCCTCCAACAAGTTGTCTGGATGTATTCCACGCTTAATAGCATATTCGTTCTGAAAGAGAATTTTTATTTTATGTATATTAAATTATCAAACGAAAACATACCATCTTAGCAATATTTTCTTTCAAATAACACAACCCCTTCATATCATCAAATTTCTGTTGATAAACCTGCTTTCGTTGTTTTGTAATAACAATGGCATCATTAGACAAAGTCTAGAGAAAATTAAAAATTTTTCTAAAAAATTATTTTTGATAAAAATAATAAAAATAATTCCGAATTATCGAACATTTATCTATTAAATAAAATTATTCTTACCAAAGCGTCCAGAAAACATTCGTGATTAGGAGACTTGGCAAAGAAGAATTTGTGCTAAAGAATAAAATAAATTGAATTTATTTATTTTAGGTATAAAATTGGATGTTCGGAAATATTATATAAATTTTTTAAAAAAATTAATAAACAATACATAATTAAATACCGAGATTGTAGCAAAGCAAGACAAAATAACACGGCATTCTGGAGTGATATTTAAAAATTCAAAAGATTTATCGATTGTTGCAACACTTAGAGGACCGTCATCACCAGAAAAAACGAATCCCTAAAATTTTAATAAAATATATAGTAAATGCTAATAAGAGGATTCGATGGTAAAAATATTTTACACTTAATTTTAAACCAAGATATTATAATAAATAGTAAACTATCTCAGACTATGTTAATTTTTTAGATAAAACACGTTCCTATCATTTAACATGGTAAGGTTATTTAACTTTTCATTACTGAGCTTTCACTAAGCCTGTCAAAAAACATTTTGTCATTGATATGAGACATAACCCGAATTTTGCCTAAAATGACTACTTGAACATAATTTTATATTTTATTAATTTGGGCTCACATCTGAAGAAAAATTTTTTTCATTTTTCAACTAGATCAGGGCTCATCACTTTTAACTCGTAAATGTTTTTGAAACATTTGGCAGACCTCTGCAATGTCCTGTCATGAAAGAGGACAATGTAATTGCCCCATATGAATCAAACAGGAATCTACGGTTATTGATATTTTGGATTCCTTTACTGCTTCCTACCATTTAGATTCACAGTTAAAGCAGTAGAATAAAAATTAGACTCACTTAGTCATTTTAAACAAAATTATCGTGCTGATAAAAAATGTCTCATGTCAGTGACGAAAGGTTTCTTTCGGAAGGTTTAGTAATTGAAAGCCCGATCCCTTATTTAAAAAACTATACAAATTAGAAAAATAAAAGATAATAGCAAATTCACTAACTGTCATTCCATTCGTGGCCAAAATATCTGTGTAAAACTGTGCAGTGCCAATATCTTTACAGTTCTCAACTGTAACAATTCCATATCCATAGTTACTAGCCATATTCATAGCTTTATTGATGCAGAGATTTCCAACAACAACTCCAGGCGCACCATTCCCATCGTAGTGAACAGAAACAACATTTTCACGAACAAGTAATGGCTCAGCTTGATTAAATTTTCAAAATTTTAAATCAAAATTTAATAAACCTTTCCCATTTTCCGATAAATACTTTTCAAGTCTTGTTAAACCCTGCCTAAAAAGTTAATTTTAAAAGATCAAATATAATTTTTAAAATAATTTACTTGTAAAAACCATTCTTATCGGCAAATACAATTATATCAGCTAATTGCTGTCCATAAGCATTAGTTCCTCCCAAAGCAAGAACACAACTCACAACAAACGTCTTAACCTAGAAAATTTTATTTACTTTAATAAAAAATAAATGGGACCCAAAGTTAACATATAACCGTTGTGATGGTATAAGCTTGTAATAACAAAAGCTCGAAATACCAAACCTCCAAAACGCCTGAAATAGCGAACTGAAGAAAACATACCAAATAAAATTTCTTTGTTATTTACGATCTTAAGATTTTTTGGTATTTCATAGTTTGTTATTTTAAGGGCTTTTGGGGGGTTTGGTATTTTAAGCTTCCGGTAATATAAGACGTTCCGGATTTCCACCCCTATAGTTTCTAAAGAAGGTTTGCTAGGTAGATAATAAATAGAGATTTTAAATAAAATAAGACCTTTTCTTCGCCAATAAACACATTATCATAAGGAGATGAAACAAAGTCTGGGTGTGATGTGGAACAATGCCGAGCCCATTTATTAGAGACTACAGACAAACAAATTGGACAAATGTCACCCTCTAAACGCTTTAACCATGTTGTGTTGTACTTCTTCTTTGAGGGCGTACCCCCTTCTTCCGAACTTCCAGTCACATGCAACGGACGTTTAGCGGCGCGCTTTAACTAAAAATTTATTTATAAAAATAAGTTAAATTTTATAAATTCCTATCTGCTTAGATTTTGTACTAGAGTAGGGTTTTCTTGTTCAAAAGAAATTTTCTTAAGTAATGTTAAAATCATTTTGGGGTTAGGGTCTCTTTCGTGAACAAGAATTTGTTGAAACTTACAGGGTCAGGACTGTCAACAGGTCTCGGTTCCATAAATGAAATATTTAAAAAAATTTAAAGTTATCTAAAATTTTGTAATAAAAAATAGAAAAATAATTTTAATTTCCTAATTTTAGTGATGGCGAATTTGTTTGTACAAAATTATAGAAATCCGAAAAATTAGTAGGTTAATGAAAATTAGTAGGTTAAAATTGATTTAAAAATATGGGAATTTCTTGTTTAATATTGACAAGTTTTGTTTTGCAAATAAATTAGAAAAATAACTTATATATTCAAAATAAAAGAATGAAAAGAAAGAGATTAGAGAAATACCGAAATAATTTTGAACGGTCATTTTGCCAACATAAAAGAAAAAGTGGCGGGAAAATAAACATATGAATCCACGGAGCGGGCCAGTTGAGCACCAGCCGACTTTGATCAGCTATAACTTCTCCATTCCGAATAGTTCTTATATCATTCGAAAGCTTTCGATAAGCGCTATCTCTTTTCCAATCGGACAAATCAAGTATGATCGCCGCAGGCGAATCAAATATGATCGACAGCGCCACATGCTTAAATTTTGAGAATTTTGAAAGGCCAACAAGCCAGATTTCTTTTTTTGGAAATAAAATAAGGAATCCAAACTTTACCCCAAGACCAAGACCGAAAAACCCTAAGAAAAGTTGAGTCAAGACTCAAGACCAAAAGTCTTGGAAATCTCTAGTAGAGTCCGGCAAAATCGCATCCCGGGATCCCGGAACGGGATTTTTTTTTCAAAATTTTGTACGGGACGGGATCCCGCGGGATTAATCCCGTAAATACCGTTCTCAAATTTGCCGGGATCCCGCCGGGATTCCGGGATTTTAACAATTAAATTTTTTTAATTATAAATACAGTGCTCCACATAACTATACTTCCACCCCTATTTTCGTGTTTTTTCCTGTTCGACCCCAAATTTTTTTTAGATTATCGTTTAAATATTGTCCCCAGGCAACTAAAAGACTAATAAAAAATTAATATTTAATTTCGGCTTAAAATTACTAGAGTTCTAAATATTTTGTTGGAAATCACCTCCACATAACTATACTTCCACTTCCCAAAAAATTATTTCCAACGTTAGGAAAAATCTAAAAAATTAGCAATTTCAAGGGCTTTCGAATGTGCCCAAATTAAAATTTACAGTAATCAATAAGAGGTCGAAAATATTTTTTAAAGTGGCCTACCCCTGTTTTACGTTGATTTTCGAGGTATCAGGATCTCGTCTTATGATAAAGATATTTGCCTAGTTTTTTTTATTTTTTCATAATATAAGGATATAAGTTTGCTGAAATTTTTGTAGATTTTTCCTAACGTTGGAAATAATTTTTTGGGAAGTGGAAGTATAGTTATGTGGAGGTATTTCCAACAAAATATTTAGAACTCTAGTAATTTTAAGCCGAAATTAGATATTAATTTTTTCTTAGTCTTTTAGTTACCTGGGGACAATATTTAAACGATAATTTAAAAAAATTTTGGGGTCGAACAGGGAAAAACACGAAAATAGGGGTGGAAGTATAGTTATGTGGAGCACTGTATGTTGAATATCGTCGGATTTGGAAATAATATCGGTGGATTTCGACAGATTAAGGAAGGAATGAAGGTACTTTCCTGTTATCGGCCCTCCATTTTTTCTTCCTTTTTTCTCAGCCTAGTTCTATACAGAATGGTCAGATTTTCTTTCTTTCTCAAATTCAATTTTCTGTGTATTCGTCGCGTCTTTAGGACTTTTTCCGTAACTTTTCTTCATTAATGTTTCATTTGAATATGCCAATCTGAAATGGAGTGAATTTGAGAAAGAAAGAAAGAAAATCTGACCATTCTGTACAAAAGTGGCTGAAAAAAAAGGAAGAAAAAATGGAGGGCCGATAACAGGAAAGTACCGGAATGAATAAATAACAGAGGATTAAGAGGGATATCAAATGATTAAGAGAGATTAAGAGCATTTTAATGCTTATAGGTGGATTTAGGGGGATATCGGTAAATATTTGGAGTGATAAAGGGTGATTTGAAGAACGGTGGGTTAAGGTCAAAATAGCGGATTTAGATGGCTCAATTAGATTTGAATGGATATATGTGGGTAATTCCCCTAATCCCTTAATATACTCTTAATCCCCAATCCACTATATATCTCTTAATACATAACTCCCTGACAACCCTATTTTCCTCCAAATCCCTCTTAATACTCGTAATCCATGCACCACATGCAAAGCTTTTCGAATTTTGAAAGGATTTAAAAATTTTGGGTTTCAAAATTCGACCTAAGAAGCCAGCTTATGGAAGGCTAAGGAGCCAGCTTTCTTCCTTTTTAGCGTATTTTGGAAGCCCAAGTCATTACATTTTTCATATTTGAGCGCCGCAGGCGAAAATTTTAAGAATTTTAGAAGCCCAAGAAGCCAGATTTCTTCCTTTTTCAGCGCCGCAGGCAGTTTACTGGAGTAATTATAAATCCCGTAAATTTGAAAAAAATTCATGGGATCCCGGAAAGTGATTGGGTTTCAAAATTCGACCGGGACGGGATCCCGCGGGATTAATCCCGTAAATCCCGGTAATCCCGTTTGTCGCTAAAAACCCGGGGTTCCGAGACGGGATCCCGTAAAATCCCGTACGGGGTCCCGTCCCGTGCCGGACTCTAATCTCTAGTTCGAGGTAGGTACGAGAGATTGAAAGTACGAGTAAAATTGAATAAAGTACGAGTAAAATTGAAGTTTATAAACAATGGTGAGGATAGTCCATCCAAAACACCCCTAATGACGCGAATTTAAGGAAATAATCATTAATTTTTTATGATTTCTGCCTTATGAGCAGCCTAAAATTCAAAAAATTTCGCCTGGGGCGCTAAAAAGGAGGAAGAAAGATTTTACGGGTTTTGCTAGAGCAGACCAGCCTTCCGCCGCCCAACCTACCATAGTCCTAAATCTTTATATTTGTAACCTAAAAATATTAAAAAATTTTGAAAACAAAATTCGAATATGCTGGAGTTGTACTCCAAATTGGATTAAGGCGGATATATGTCAATTTAAAGGGAAATTGGTAAATTGTAGAGAGACAAGTTATCTTGCATAATTGGATTTTGAGGGGTATCAAGAGAGGCAAATTTGAAGAGATTAGAGATAAAGTGGGATTTGGGTGATTAAAAGCGATATCAGGGAATTTGGGGATTAAGAGGGATATGTGGTTATTGAGAATAGCACTCTCGTTACCTTCACTATGGCTTCCAATTTTCTTCCTTTTTCTGTGCCTGAGACTAAAATTTTGAGAATTTGGTAAGGCCAAACAGAATTAAGGAGACATCGATGGAGCCAGAATTCTTCCTTTTTCAGCGCCGCGGGTGAAAATTTTAATATTTTCAAGGGGATATCGGGGGATTTTGTGTATATTTAGATTTTATGGATTAAGTGAATATCGGTGGTTTTGGGAGAGGATATAGAAGGGAAATAGAAAATATCTCAAGGGATATATAAGATATCTCTTTTATCTCACTTAATATCCCTCTTGATCGATATCTAAAGGCAAATTTGAAAAAAAGTCCAAATTCATCCAAATTCACTTATACTCCAAAGTGAATTTGGATATATCGCAAGATTTAATAGGATATAGTAGGATTAAGGCGGATATATGTCGATTTAAGTGGATTAAGATGGATATCGGCAGATTTGTAAGGTCCACTCTTGTTTCTGATATGCTTTTCCACGCATCTAGCTATTGGGGTGCATATTTATGATTTAAATATCAATTAAAAGCTTTTTTGAACTTAAAAATAAATATTTTTTAATTTTTATTTTATTTCGTTTCGTTTCGTCCGAAACGAGCTCATTTCTTTTCGTTTCGCTCCGAAACGAAATAGGAATTTTTTATTTCGTTTCGATTTGAAATAAAAAGAATTCGATCATCCCTGATATGCAGGCAGAAATCCTCACTTTGAGCACTTTTGAGCGACGAAGACGAAAATTTTTGAAATTTCCTATGTACAAGAAGCTAGATTTCTAGGATTTCTACCTTTTTAGCACTAAAGGAAAAA